GTAACAACGATTATGTTATTAGATTAATACTCCAATGCAATTCAATATTTCAGTCAATCCCAGAAATAAGTACTTAGGTAATAATAATCCCTCGGGGGGGGGGGACCCTTTTATGTAATTCTTTTCATTCTTTTTATTTTAGCAAAAACATACATAATACTGTTCCAAATTCAAGGGATACTGTTGTCGTTTCAAGAGTAAGAAAGAACTCTGCATTTCTGTGGAGCAGAGCTTGGGTCCTCGGGTCTCTCCAGCCAGACTTTGAAAGGGAACTGAAAACCCCAAGTCCACTTCTTTGACCAGGCCTTTCCCATGAAGGGTTACAGGGCCATTAAAGAATACAATGGGGAGGTCTCAAGTGCTTCAAGGACCTAAATTATAGTCTAGGCAAGGAGCTTGCGCTTCAAGAGAGAAGACGGCTATTTACAGACACTGTTTGCTCTCACTCTTTCAATATATACAAATCTTATGGTTTAAGCTAAGATTTAAAAACTTAAAGCTCAGTATTTAGTCTAAAAGATACTAATTTACCATTTACTTCTAGATTAGATATTGTAGCATACAGAAAATATTCCATGAATTTGTTTATCCTTAAAAACAATACAACAAAAGACTATAGAGAGAGCCTACCCTGAAACTACCTACCAACGTTGCCAGAAGTTTTTTTAATGAGTACCTGACTACATGCTTTTGAAATTACACAGCAGCAGCTGTTATGTGAAAGTAATCTTATTCATATTATAAGCAGTAGTTAACACTTCTGTTTTTTCTGAATAAAAATGTAAGAACGTCACATTTTTATGAACCTTAAATATTTACAACATAGAGAGAGAACAACAACTATCAGGGTGTGTAATTACAAGCTACATTATACGGTTCACTCTTCACAAGCAAGTTAATTATTAACAGGTTTAAACAGGTCGCAGTGGAAGATGAAGCACATTCTTTAAAGACCATAGTTTGCACAAGAACATTACGGGACACACCCTGTAGAAACTCACCACCGGTTCTGTCCTTCCAACAACAGAGAACCACATTTTTATCTCTGGGACACAGTCTGGAGCAGGAGACCAGTTGTCTGCTTCTCTCAGTTTCAACAGCAACCAACACAGCTGGCTTTTCGAGAATGGATTGCCACAGTGCTGAGCTGGACGCTGTGACTCTGTATGGCATTTATCAACATGAGCTGGAGCCAGTGCAACACTCACATTCTTATGCAACCAGGCCACTCTGATTTTCATTCCCTTCGTCCTTTATTAAGCGTTAAAGGGCTATAAAAATGAAAGGGAACTGTTCGCATCTTAAAAATCCAAATTAAACAGGAAGCATCAGCATCATGTTGTGCCACAGATGAGTAAGAAGTAGCATGCTGAACTCTCGCAAAGCAACGTCTCAGAAAGTAGACGGCAAGCCCACACTGCTTCCAAATCATCTGGATTTCATCAACTCTAACCACCATGTAGAGGGCAAGGAGAAGAACTTAATATCAAAACATGGTTCGGTTACAGCGTCAGAGCCACACACCAATTAAAAAAGGGAAAAGGCCTGGGTCAAACACAGACAGCAAAAACACGAGTGCAGACATCGGAAGGCATTTGGGGGTGACAGGAAAACCGGCAGGGCTGGGTGGGTGGAAGTAAGGGCTATTACCAGTGTTTCCTACGGCTCCCTCCTACTCAATCATCACTAGGCTTAAAGGCACACAACAGCACTGCACTGGTAGACCTGCCGCTACCGTGCCTGCTACACAGGCACCGCGATAGTGTGGTCTGCCAGAAGAGCCCACAACACCAAGAGTGTAAGCGGCTCCGTGGGAGGGAGACAGGGCCCTCCACACTAACTTGTACCAGAGGTCGTAAGACCTGACCTATCTGATGCTCAAAGTGTACTCCGAAGTCGTAATGGTGAGTCGACTCCATCACTGTACCTACAGAGACCAGATACCTCTCACTTGTACTGGGCTGTCCTGGCAGTGTATATACCCAAGGTAGCTTGTGTTTTCATTTGCTGAGCCTTCCTTGCCATACCACACACATGACAAATATAGTGTGGAAATGGACACAATGAACAGCTATTCATCTGTCTCATTATTTTAAAAAAATGTGATAATATACTACCATTTCATGTATTAAAGTGGCACTGCCCAGTTGACAGAGAATTTTTAAGCATTTCCTTCAGAGTGCCCATATACCAATTCCTAAATTTCATCTCTGGCTCTTTTTTTTGTTTGTTTGTTTGTTTGTTTGTTTGTTTTTCAACACAGGGTTTCTCTGTGTAACCACCCTGGCTGTCCTGTAACTCATTCTGTAGACTAGGCTGGTCTTGAACTCAGAGATCTACCTGCCTCTGCCTCCCGAGTGCTGGTGGGAATTAAAGGTGTGCACCACCATGTCTGGCCCCTCTGGCTCTAACTTTCTGAGCTCCATTATCCAATCCCTTACCAGGCTCCCAAATTTTCAAGTGTGGCGTGTTCAATCCTGACCTCACAACTTGTGCAGGCTCCCTTCCTTGGCAGCCACCTAAAGGACCCAGGCACTCAAGTCGGATTCTTTTCTCCATTCCCACTCTGACCTATCACATCCAGCTCACCCCACCTGCCGCTGTCATCCAACAAGTATCTGCCAGCACTGGCCATGTCCCCCAGAAACGACCAACTCTTCAACAAGGCAGGAAAGAAACAAGTTTCCCCACAGAGTCTGGTCTCAGCATGTCTGTATCTGTTAGTGGTTTTTGGCTTTATGTGTGTCGTGGTTTGAGGTGGCAGAGTCCACCACGGTTGGGAGGGTACAGCAGTGGGAATTGAGGTGGCTGGCCACATGACACCCCACTTAAGAGGCAGAGAGAGGAGTACTGGTACCCTTCCCTCCTTTCCTTTTCTGTCCAGTCTAGGAACCTACTCGGTGGGACAGCACAGCCACAGCGCTGTTAGCTCTGGAAACATCCGCAGACAAAACAAAGGAATCTAGGTATCTCCTGGTGATTGTAAGTCCAGTCAATGTGGCGACAAAGATTAGCCATCCAAGCCCACAACCTCCAGCCCACACCGAAGAGCAGTGAACATATCTTACACCCTAAGTATAAAGACTACAATTCTGCCAAGACCACCTTCACAAGGCTGAAGCGATAAGCCAAGACCTCATCTAGTAAACAGATAGGAGTCTGTTTAAGGGAACACAGGTTGAACTATGACTTTCAGCTTGGCTGGGTGATAGGAGTCTGTTTAAGGGAACACAGGTTGAACTATGACTTTCAGCTTGGCTGGGTGTCCTAATTCTCTACCTGATACCTGGCAGAGGATACAAGAGTGGGCAAGGGTGCAAGATGAAGCCTGAGCCTACTATTATGAAATACTAGGTCCTTTTCATCAGGACACCACACCGAGCAAATCAAAACCTAAGTCGTACTGGAGTCCAGAGAAAACAAGTCATTCTGCACTGGAAGACGTTTTCTACTGGAAATAACAGTAACTCTGATAATGGTCGCCCTCCAGCAAGACCAGTATTAGAGAAAAAGATTATGTCCACAATGTATTACAGAACTTAAGGCTTCTTTGCTGCTTTCCTTTACACGAGAGGCAGTCCTAAGTGCTGGGTAGACAGTTTACCACTGAGACACACCCATCCCAGGAGTTAAGTCTCCGCTGCTGTGTATGAGTGACACTGCTCTCTGAACTGTTTCCCCTCTAGAAATGAGCAGATTCATCTATAACCAAGAAAGAAAATGGTTCCACGGGTGACATTTTCATGCTTGCAAATGTTCTGAGCTTGGGTCAAGCATACTCTAACAGTCTAGAAACATGTTGCATGATCTGGGCTATGCAAGAGATGGACAGTGAAGTAGGACCGACCGGGGGCTCAGGATCTTTGCTCTGTCTATCACAGCTGACTCCACAGAATCTCAGCTTCAGGGACAACTGTGGTGGGTATACACACAGGTTCCTCCAGTCCAGTCCTGAACACACCCCACAGTTCCAGGCCCTTCTGTTCAGCCATGCCCACCAAATCTCAGACACCAATGCCTTTTCCTCCTTCCAAACCCTTAATTTTGTTGTTCTGCGAACAAGGCAACAAGACTCCTCTCTGTCAACGTAACAGAATTCTGATGTACAAAATTTACCATTACTATTTAAACCATTTCTCAATACACTGGCATCATGCGATTTGGAATGTTCTTCTTTCGTAATGCTACGCAGTGTTTGCAAGCTTTTCATACAGTCTCTTGAAACAGGACACAGGTAACAATTTCAGCTGATAAAGTATTATGGGCAAAATATTACCACAGCTTAACAAAGTATGTCTTTAATACTAGCTGAAAATAGTATTTGGGAAAGAGAAGGAAGTCGCATATGAAAACAGAGGGAGACTATTTGGGGAAGAAAACCAGTCAGAGTGAGGTAAGGGCACAAGAAATCAGCAATGGGAGAGGGGAATAACTCAGAACCAAATATAGTGACATACTTATAAAAATATCATGATGAAACCCATTACTTTGTATGCTAACTTGAATTTTTACCTTTAAAAAAAAAAATCACTTGTTCCATTGAAAATACCTGACTATGGTTGTGGAAGCTTTATTAACAGACTAGTAGGACAGGACAGGAAGGGCGAGGGAGCTGTCAGTCCCTCAGATGAGCTGTATGCTGAGCTCCAGTCCACCTCCAGGAGAGACGGCCTAGAGATAAGAGTGGTTATGTCATAGCACCTGCTATGACAAAGTGACAGATGCAACTATTTCTCGTGCCCACGTTTCTTTCCCACGATGCCCAACACATCTTGACCATGCCTTTAAACTGCTTCCTCTGAGACCATCCACTTCACCTCCACATTTTCAGAGAAGGAGCTCATGCCCGAGTGAACACCAGGAGACCAGGGGCTGCCTTCGGGAGGCACGCTCCATCCTCCCAGGAGCAAAGCTGAACATGTGCTCTGAAGGTCCGTGTCTCTCATGGCCACAGACGGGAGCAGGGAGAAGATGCTCTCCGGGAAGTCCCTCGGGCTTACCTTCGCTGCTACGATGCTGAGACCCATTCCATTCTGTTTTTTTAGGGTCACAGTGATTATCTCAGGTTCCTTCCTCAGAGGCTGGGCCTAAAGATGAGAAAACAGACTCATTTTATGACAAAATGGAAGTGTTTTCACATGGTTAGAAAGCCATTTAATTTGTTACAAACAAAGAACGGAATGGGCATAAAAAGTCCACTGCCTCAGGTACATTTCATTTGCTAAACAAAATACTGCAGCATTTGACTAAAGTCTACAAGACGAACCTAGTTACAAGTGCTATTTAAAAGTTAAGATTTGCTCTATGAAACAAAACTAAGCTTCCATTTGTATCAGGCTAGAAAACACAACCATAAAAATCAAATCCAATTTTTACCATTATGACCTTTTAAAATAAATTGTTAAGCTTTTGTTTTCTTTTCCAAAGAAAAAGTGTAAAGTTATTTCACACTGGGAAGATAGCAGAAATTGCTGTTACTTCATCTCTTGGGAAATTGTACTACAGGGTACGTAAGGGGCATTCCCAGCACTCTGCCAAGAAGCACACTCTGAGCTGGGCAGCCAATACAGAGGGGGCAACCAGGGCTTGCACAAATCCCAAGGGAGAGCTCGTCTTTTTTTTTTTTTTTTTTTTTTTTTTTTAAGGAAAGCATCACTGAAGTCACATATTACACTCATGCCAAACTTCACAATGAACACTGAACACACACTGAAAGCTTAACTACTAAGATGCACATAAGATAGTGATTAAACAAAAGGCAGGGGTTTAAAGCCTAGGAGAGACTTTTAAGAAGGAAACAAAGTTATGTGACATTCATTAAGAGTTTTGTTTTATATAAATCAAGACCTGAAATCTATCTCCCACAGAATCTGATAATAAATCTGAAAGATGATCAGCCAGTGAATCCAAGAGATACTTGTTGTCCTATAAAAGCTTGTCATCAGAAGTTGATCCTTTACTTTGAATGTGAGCAAAAATAAACAAAAGGAGTCAAGAAAAAGGAATAGTAACTTTGTCAGTAGCGAGCCCACATATCAATCAATTCTAGGAAATGGCTCTGATTAATGGTTTAAATCTAAAAGTTATATAAATGTATACACTATATAAGAAAGTATCCATTTTGAAACTCCATATTTGGCAAAGTGTAATTTTAAGAGGAGTGAAATTCCTTATTATTTCAAAGTTATGAATTATTTGATACACATTTAAGATCATAGAAATCAGCAGAAAATAAAATATTTTTATCACTGAAAAATGTGTTTCTAGTAAAATCTTTCAAAGTTACACTAATATGTTTCAAAGATATATATGTAGGCTACCATAACTGTCATCATAAGTATTCTTTACTGCTACAAAACCACTTATTACTACACAAAACTGTACAAAACCTGGCTCAGGGAGTACATACATGTGTTTTTACCTACCAAGGTTTTAAAATGTTTGAATCAAATTGGTATTAGAAAACCATTTAAAAATTTCCCACTGTAACATTGCACATATGCAAAGAATAAATTAGATCCCATCTTCAAAGTCACTAGCAACATCTCATGCGTTAATCCACCCCAACCTCAAACACTTGCCAGTTCTGTGCTCTCTCGCATAAGATGACTCTCAAAATCTGCACCCTCGAAATGTATCGTCCAGGTTCCTGGGGAACGCGTATGAGGAATCAATCTGCAAAACCCTAAACAGAAAATAATAATTGTAAAACACGTAAGGCATCCTTAATCCCACACAGTTTCAACAAGGAAAACAAAACACATTATTGGATTAAACCATTTTCCTTTTCCTATGAAAACTGGGGAACTGCTCTGTACATAGTCTGCAAATGTACACATCCCACCTGAAAGCAAACCCTCAGTGGCAAAAGAAAGCAAAAGAAAGGCTCTCGGGACTAAGAACGACACAGACACAGGCTGGGTTAAGTGACTCAGACACAGACTCACACTACAACAGCCTGGGGCCGGGAGGTCCTTTCTCAGCTCAGGTGCACTTAAAGTCTTAAAGAACAGTTCTGTTTTGTGAGGCAGGAGCTTTGAACTTACTTTGTAGCCTAGGCCAGCCTCACTGAGTGTAGAGCACTTTGCCTAGTGTGTGCGAGGCCCTTAGCTGGATCCCTGATACTCCCACCAAAGTATTTCTGATGGCCTTATTTAGGACAGTTGACGTATTTAAAATATCAAGGCCTTTATTCAAAGCCATGCCACCTTAACTTAGTCAAATTTTATTGTACATTTCTCAGTTCTTCCATCACTCTGAAGTTTGCTCGAGGGCTACTGCCTTCTTGTTGTGAACAGTCAGGGTTGCTCAAGCCCTCACCACATGTAGACTGGTGCAGTTCTGAAGCCTAGCTGCCCTAGCCTGAGTCTTTCCTGGCCTAGTGTTTTACCAATGGAGTATACCTGGAATTGCTGTTCTCAGACATGTATTTGTTGGAGAGTTCCAGAAGGAGAAATATTAAGAACATCAGTTAAAATAAAAAATATAATGTAGTGTCAATGATGTGTAACCAAAATTTTCTTCCTTGTGTTTTAGAGGATTATAACTATTAAAGTTAAAATTTCAACAATGTGGTTTTTTCCCCCCAAATGTTAGATTTCCACAACAAGCTCTGCACTATACTGCTAATGGAAACTCATTTGTCATAGCTTGAGGTACTTAACCATCACAACCCAGGCATTGGTGTGGGCTGGCATTACAGTCTCCCACAGAGCTGTGTTGCACTGAGGTGGGGGGGGGGGGGGAGAGCTACTGAGACCATACAGCAGTCCTTTAATAAGTTTACAAAGAAAGAGTATAAAGAATCAGAAACACTGATGTCATAACACACAACCCATGTTACGCCTTTAAAGGCATCTGTGTGCCAGGCTGCATGAACTATAAACATCCATATGTATGAAATAATATATGGATGCCAAGACCAGGATGGAATACCAAATGGCCTAAGACTACTTATCCAGAAGAGCCTAGGGGAAGATAGGAAGGAAACTCTTTGTCACGTTAGGACCTCACTGTTTCCACGCTGGCAAATACCTATAGTGCACAAGACAAAACTGGCACACGATAAATATGTCCATTTGCAAAGTCGGAGCAGATTAGTCTCCTGGCTTATTTACAAGATATTAATTAACACGTTTCTGAGTGTTGGCATGAAGCATGCCTAAGTGAGTATGGACAGGAGTGAGGAAGCCCAGCCAAACCTAAGGTACAGTAACTCAGCACTAACAAGACAGGGTCCTCATCCTTGCTGTAGAGACAACACTCACACCACCACTGAGAACACTTATACCCTCTGTGTAACACAGAACACTCACATACCTACCCTCCACTAGGAAGGTACAACACTCACACCCCTTTACAATGAACTAGCATCCTAGTCACTGGCTCTGTCACAGACTTGATGGAAAAGCTTCTGGAAACATCTGTAGAAACATGGTATCTCAAGAACAGTTCAACAGCCTATCAACTGAAGGTGGTAATACAGAAGTCTCACTCCTGGGGGAAACATGCCTATTGCTTGAGGCCATGGTTTTGGCCTCATGTGCTGAGACAGAAAAACACCATTAAGTAGCTCTATAGCAAGCTTGCTTCACTGTCTTCCCCATGCTGTGACCAGGGGCTTGAATTCCACAGGCTTGAGCTCTTCCATTAGACAGGGATGCCAACAACGTTCAAAACTACTGCAGCCAGGCTCACCTACCCTGCCCGGTCACAGGTCTACCGGTACCATGAATGAGGGCTTTTCAGGACTAAACACGTTCACTCTCTTCAAACTCGCACAGTTTTCCTACGTGGCCTCTGCTTCCCTCACCCTGGACTGTGTGTCTCTGGGAACAGCAGGCCTGCTAGGGGACTAAAGCACAAGCTGCTTTGCCAACAACTCCATTCATAAGAAAAGGCAGTCTTTCAATGTAATGGCCTTTTATATTCCCCACTACACTTTTGAAGATGTAAAATTATTTATTGTGGTCAAACAGTTTAAAAAAAACCACTCTCACTACAGTACTTTCACTAGTCTTACTATTTGTTATTTAACTGAAGCCTGTGTTTAAAGTCTACTTTCCTATTCATCTGCTATCGTCTACATCACACACACACACACACACACACACACACACACACACACACACACACACACACACAGAGTACATTAAAATTTGTATTGCTTCAAATCTCATACTTTAAAACAAAGATTTTTAAAAAAAATTGTTATATACCATCAAAACAGTATATCAAAGGTGACAGAGGCAGTCAGGAGGGAGAAGCTGCAAACAGTTACAAGTCAGCCTGATGTGGTGGCTCCAGAAGCCGTAGCAGGACACAGGGCACTCACAGATCTCCCTCCCTCCTCAGGCAGCCTGTCCATTCTCACACCTCTTAGCCCGCTTTGTGAGGAAGGAACAGGAGAGGGATGACGTGCACATGGCTGGGTGGCAGTGATCTAGAACACTCAGAAGCGAGGGAGCCAGGAGAAAGGCCCCTTGTTATGGAGCACGTGGGTGGAGAGCAGGGGCTCAGTCAAGGGACACAGCACACCCACATGGTTGTGTCGGGGCATGTGAGATCTTTCACCTGAGTCACAGGACCACAGCTTCCTCAGGCACATTTCCACAAGCCTGCCATTCAGAGAGTCAGTGCGAAGCTCATTTGAGCCCAGCTGCATGCTCCAACTGAGATAACGATAAATGGTATTTACCTCTCTGGCACAGAGGGTCTAAAAATTCTTGTAAACCATTTGGAATGTTTCTGACGACATCACAGGAATAGCCATCTTCTGGCAAGAGAAAAGGTAGTTGTAGGTCAGGGTCCTCCTCCAACTGCACATCTCTGCCATCACTGCGGGCAAGCTCATCAGCTGTGTTCTCAGCAACAGCCACAACATTTTCTATGAGATCCTGCAGAAAGCAAACGCTGACTCATCAAGGGCCACTCACTGACGGGAAGCACCTTGGTATGTCATAGACATGACCTCAGGGTAGAGCACACTCGACACGGCATGAACAGTGGGCTTCATAAAGCCCATACATACTACTCAAAAAGGCAGAACAAGAGGCTCATTAACTCCCAACTACTTATGGCTTTAAAACGTTGTTTTACCTCAGGATGGTCTCGCTGGGCAGTGGTGGCGCACACCTTTAGCCCCAGCACGCGGGAGGCAGAAACAGGTGGATCTCTGAGTCTACAGAGTGAGTCCTAGGACAGCCAAGGTTACACAGAGAAACTCTGTGTCCAAAAAGCAAACAAAAAACAACAACAAAAAAATGTCCTTCTTTTGTCCAAAGCAGCTGATTTATTTGCACAACTCTTTAACACATGATCATTAAGTTGTGAGCCCTTTTTACAGAACACGCCTGACGGGTGGGGATGGTGAGAAAGGAAACAGACATGTGAAACTCACATGTCTCAATTGTATGACTCATTAAAGTGAAGATTCAGTATCAAGGACGGGTGGTCCCTTCGAGGCAGCCCTGGGCTCTACCGCCACCTTCCTTTCCCACACAGAGAACAACTACTCAGGCTGAAAATGTCATGCAGTTTTGTCTGTTCTAGAAATTAACATCTGGAAGCCACTGCAGATATTCTTTGCACACACACAGTTTCTTTTGCAGCAACTGCCATCATAATATTCACACACATTGTGGTGTCAACCACAATTCCTTCTCCACTGTAGCAAAACAACCCTGCACTTCACTGTTAGGTGATTTCCTGGTGCACTGCATTGCTAATTGGGTCGTTCTCACTGTTTGGCTATTTTGTACCCGTCTTTCATTGATATAAACTCAACACTGAACTTCATTTGTTCATCAGCTCGTATCATCTGGACACAAGTGGCTCAGATGTAGATGTCACGGTTTGGATCTGAAGCATCCCCTAAAGGCCTATGTGGAGGTGGCTTGCAACCCCTATGTTTAGAGGTGAGGCTTTGGGGAAATGATTGGGTCAAAAAGACTCCTGTTTGTCAATTGATTAATAGGTAGTGAATTCAAAATTTGAACAGGTTATCATGAAGTACTGGAACCAGGGAAAATTGGGGGTAAAAAAAAAAGTCTTGAGTCGTGCGGGGGGGGGGGGTGTCTATCTTTAAAGATTTTATCTTGTTATGTCTCATGGCTGTCTTTGAACAACCTCCCACCCCCAGAGTCCATATATACCACCCTATATACAGAGAAATGATTCCACCAAGTCTGACATGGTACATTACTCTAAATGAGGTTACCCATTAAATGAGCATGGCCAACTTACAGGCAGCAATACCACCAAGGAGGAGCTCTGGAAGCCCCAGAAATTGCTACCTGTTTATATACTATATTCTTCAGGTGCACAGGGGCCCTGTGAGTTCTCCCCAGTCCACTGAAAATGCCAGTGGGCTCCGTCTTGTGTCCTAAGGGTCTATTTTGAGTCGCTCTCATTTTACGATGGCAACACCATATCATGACCAAAGGATAGAGCTCCACAAGTCCTCTGCTTCCTGGCTGCAGGAAGTGAGCAGCTCTTCCTCACAGTGCCTTCTTTGCAAGATGTTCTCTGACTTACTACAGTCACAGTCATGAGAACAGAAACTCTGAGCCCAGATCTCTTCTCTTTCAAACTGTTTCTCTCAGATGGTCCTATCTGTGGTACAGCTCTGCATATACACTCAATGGGGCTAAGGTATTATGGATGGACTTCTTATCCTGAGTCCAGACTCTTGTGGGTGAGACTCTGGTTGTTACCAATCAGACACTCCCGGATGAAATGGAGAAAGCTAACATGTTGTGAATACTCATGCTGCTGCTGATGGCGGGAGTGTGCACGTGGTATATGGTGAAGACTCATGCTGATGGCGGGAGTGCACGTGGTATATGGTGAAGATTCGTGCTGATGGCTGGAGTGTGCACGTGGTATATGGTGAAGGCCCATGCTGATGGCGGGAATGCACGTGGTATATGGTGAAGATTCGTGCTGATGGCGGGAGTGTGCATGTGGTATATGAAAAGCACCCTTGCATCTTTCACAGAGGCTCTGGGTCTCTGGTACTTCAGCATGGTGGTATAGACTTTAACTCAACTTCCTTTCCTCTATTCCTTCCAAAGATTCCCCAGAAGCAATGGCCCGAATTAAATAATTTGTTCCTTAAAATGCTTATACAGACTATATTCTTTGCACCCAACAGCTAAGACTTCAGAGTGAAATGATCTTCCTTCTCTTCCTCTCTTCGTCCCAGATTTCCGGTGCAGGCATGCCCACACTTCACAGTATCGTGGTTATATTCACTTACCGCAGGAATGAAAGGCTCATCAGGTGCACAGTGGTAGTTCTGTAATAGGGCTTGAAGTTGCAGAGAATTTAACTTGAAGCATGTACTGTTTATATTTGGAATGTCATCAGGTACATACTTATCCATGGTAAGCAGAGTAGTAGCCTATTTAAAAGAGCAAATATTTTGAAGTAAGATACTAAAAATGTGAGGCCCTGGGTTCAAATCCCCAGCACAAAATAAAACAAACAAACAAAAAAAAAAAAAAAAAAAAAAAACCCTTTGTAACAGCTGTTAAGCTAATAACTTGCTTATCTGGCTTTGCAATGCAGGATACTTATAAAGAGGCATTAACATTTAGCAGCATATACTAAACTATATGCATACTTTTTGTAGGCTTTATAAACATCCTCTTGGGTTTACTTTAGTTTTTATGTTTTTAACATAATTTGATTCAAGTATCAATGTTTATAACATGCTTTTGAAGTATTTGAAAGTTTGAATATTTATACAGCAATCCAGATGATCAATTACAAGAATCGGGAGTTTTGCTGATACAAATTTTGATAAACGTTGAGAGCTAAGTAGCTTCTCAGGATAATGACTATCTTTAATTGTTGTATGTTTTGAGATTGCATATAACTCATTTCCTTAATTATAAACACCAGTTCCTAGACTGTAGTATCTAAAGCTTTCCCTGAGAGCTGTTAAGACAGCAGACTATGACTTGGCACCTAATTATCACTCATCCTTCAGTAGATGGCTTTCTAAAGTATATCTTGCTGTTCTCAACAAAAAGAGCACTTCGGTGGTTATCTCTATCCTGCTTACACGCCTTGTTATAAGGGAGCAGTGCCCTTGACACTCTGGTGCTAGAGTCTTACAGAGAAGGGACCTTGTTTACACACAGTTGGCTTAAAAAGGAGGCCAGCACCACCGGTGTCCTTGTACAAACCGAACACTTGGGCAGACCTGCACCCGAGAGCACCACGTAACGACTGTGAGTGCCCGCTGGATGTGAACCACCGGAGGCTGCGAGAACACAATTACCATCCCGCAAAGGGTACTCCCACGCCAGCACCTTCATTTCAACCTCCAGTTTCCAGAAGTAGGAGACACTTGCTTTTAGCTGGTTTGTTACAGCGGCCAGGTGGTGCCCCGCCCCGCTGCGTGACTACTGTGCAGTGAGAAAAGGACAGACGCTTTACTGAACCCAAGCTCTTGGCCAACATAAAGGTGTGAGATTCAGCACTGAGTACATTAACCCCGGGGGTGGGGGTGTGAGGGGGGACCTTGTGCACACCTGCACGATCCTGCTCAAGTGACAATCAGCGGCCAGCTCCAGGCCCTGCTTCTCCGCCCAGGCTTCGATATGCCCCAGCTGCTGGCGGATGATTGCTCCCCAGTAGTGGGAGCACAGGCCCGAGTCTGGGTCTGTCACCAGTCTGTTGAACAGCCACATGTTGATGAAATGGAAGAGCTGCGAGAACAGCTGGATGGTCAGGGCAGCATTGACTCTGCAGCGCCTCAGCAAGGACATGGCTCCCGTCAGGGTGTGCAGCACGTCATCTGTTCAGGACACGGGACATGCCAGAACTTTCTCAGTTACACCAGTGATAGACAAAGGTGGTTACAGCAACTAACACGTTCTGCCAAGCCATTACAAATGCCAAATTCAAACAGAAAGCAGGGATGTGGTCTCAAATACATGCAGTTACTAACTAACCACGATTCACATATAAATTCACCCACAGGGCTTTTTAGGACCTTTTGTGTATTACCAACATAGCAAAGCAAAAGTGAAAATTATTCACAAATCTAACAGACAGTTCCTTAAAAGTTATTTTCAAAGACCACCAAACCCAATTAGACATTTAAGAAACAACCCCGGGGCTGGGAAGATGGCTGCACGGTTAAGAACTCTTGCTGATCTCCTGGGAGACCCAAATTCATTTCCCTGCTGCGTGCGCTCCAACTCTGGTGCTGTAACGCCCTCTTCTGGCCTCCGTGGGTACTGGCACCCAAAGCATGCACTCACATAAACACATTACATAAATAAATCTTTAAAAAAGGAACACGCCCTCACAATACAGTCAACTTTAAGACAAACGTAAGGGCTGGGGCGTGGCTACAAGTTAAGAGCGCTTGCTGCACTTACAGCAAACCCAGGTTCAGTCCCAGCACCCTACATGACAGGTAACGGCCATCTGCAACTCTAGTTCCAGGGACACAGCATTGGTATTCAGGCATCTGTACTGCCCTGCTCTTGGGGTTCTGACAGGATATGCCCTCTTCCAGAAGACCTAAGTCAACTCCCTCAATCCCCAGCACCCACATGGTGGCCTCACAACACTTTGTAATTCAGTTCCAAGGGACCAGACACCCTCTTTGGCCTCTATAGCTCATATACAGTACACAAACATGTAATCAGGCAAAGCACACATACTTAAAGATTAAAAAATAAAGATAAATCTAAAAAAGAAAAGATACCAAGTTGAATAAATATTAAAGGAAGGCTCATAAGATCCTAACCTATTTTTGGTCTTTGTAGACTGTTTTCCTCAGGATCATCCAGAAAGGCTGGCATGTAGTTATTAAGTTCTGACTGAAGACAGTGAACCAAGTACCTGAAAATACATAATTTGTCAGACTTGTTATAGAGGCAATCTTTATTCTTAAAGACTATTTTCCACTAAAAATAACACAAATTGTACTGTGGCACACCAGAAACGGAGTGCCAGAGTACAGTGCTCACAAGTCAACACATTTCCCCAAGCTTCTTGTAAGCATCTTCAATTGGGTTAACTAAAAATCTTCAAATGAGCTGAAGACAGAACACGAAGCATTGAAGTTAACTCTTTGCAGAGCTGTGCTTCTTACTTAAATGCCATCTGAACCAAGTGTGCTAAGACGTCCTGGGCATCTAGTGTGATCCGACTAAGGTCTCGGTCCTGCTTGATGAAGTTGAGAAGTTCTGATGCATTTGCCATCCAGAAAGCAAGCGCCCCTGCAATGTTCTTTTGTTTCTGTGGACAGAAAACATTCCCATTAAAAACGCAAGACATTAGAAAAATCAGAAGTAAACAGGAATGCCCCTGAATAGCTGAATGAAGATAGACCAGTACCTTCCCATCCTCACCAGGTATTTACCACAGATACCAGATACTTGCAAAGAAATTTAGTACATGCAGAGCAATGGGAAGAAATGACCACTGCAACATCTCAAGATTCATATACATAGACATATTGGTCGCATTAGACGTAATTTGCAGAATTAGTAGAGTGGAAATGTTGTATATCACCAAACCAAATTGTAGATTATGCATTATCTGGTAATCTGTGTAGCATACACACCATGTATCCATGGTTACCCACAGCCACCCTGATACTTGTAGTTACTGGCTTGGACACCATGCAACTCAGTATCTAGTACTGATCTATCAGAGTCCTCTCCCGACCACATTTGCAGGCCAGGCAACCTTAGATGAGATCCAAAGAATAGGAACCAAGGGTAAATAATAGAGAAGAAACAGAACTTTTGTCATTTCATATCCACACTCAAGTGCATAAAGCAGAAATTATGAAATGCTGATAAAGTTGCATAGTAAAAAAGGATTTTAGTACTGCATGTTTCAGTTGCTGAATGAGGGGTTATGAACTGCTCAGTCCAGTTTTTGTAGGATAATATTTGTAATGGAAGCAGCATGAGAAACTCAGCTAAGCCAACACAGCTAGGATCAGCTCCCAGCAGCATGTCCTACCTGATCAACCTGGTCTACTTCCTGGAGAAAAACAGACGAGGGGAAATCAAGCAGAACGAGAGAAAGAAACTTGTAAACAATCATGGTAGTTTAAAAAAAAAAATCAAAACACTAAGGTACATGAAGGTACAACATGAGGTACGACAGTTAGTCCCAAATTATTTGACATAAAGGGTTGGTTTCATGTTCTTAACATTGGCACAACAACTGAGTTTTACAGATTACAAAGATGACGTAATAATAAAGCACAAATGAACATACTGATTTATTTGAAAGATATGCAAAGGAAGGACATCCAAACACTTTTTTTTTTTTTTTTTAATGACACCGTGGGCTTACTACTTAAAAGGTAAAGGAGTCCATTCCCCTGAACTAATTATGAAGATGAGAATGAAAAGGCTAATCAAAACAACCAAAGTAAAAGCTGAAAATGTTGGCAGTGCATGAAGGGTTCACATCACAGCTGTACTAAAGGGAATGATGTTTTGAAAACAGAACTTAAATTACTTGCCAAAATTATTCACTGTGACAATTATTGTTCACCAACCAAGAGTGCTCCAACTTTACACTGAACCTACTCTGAAGTTTAAAAGCCTTTCCTCACTAGCAGAAAGCAGCAAGGACAAACTCTCAAAAAACAGCAGTTTGACAGTACCACAGTCTGGAACAGGCTTCTAAGCCCACACATGGCAAGAGACAGACAATGACTTTGAGCAACAACTGAAAAGGACATTTACATTTGTTTATACATAATAAAGTGATGATACCAGAGTAACAAAACATCCAGATAAAATGACCTTCCTTTTTTTCCATTCTTTAGCTTGAACAAGCCCATCTAACTCCTACTGTGCTAATCACTCAAATGTGAAAGAAGTATTTGTGGAAAGCTTAAAAGACCATCTCAGTTTCCCTCAAATTATACTGCGAGTATTTACTTATTTATTTGTTGTTTATTTATAGATTCTTCTGGGCAGGGTTTCTCTCTGTCGCTCGAACTCTCAGAGCTCCCAGAACTCCACCTGCCTCTCTCTGCCTCCTGAGTGCTGGGATTAAAGGTATGCACCATTATCGCCCTGCTTAATCACCAAACCATTTAACCAAAGTATTTAACACTCCATTACTAGTTTCTTAGCTGAGTAAAGGCACTGGTTAAGTTAGGAAAACTTTAACCAAAGTATTTAACACTCCATTACTAGTTTCTTAGCTGAGTAAAGGCACTGGTTAAGTTAGGAAAACTTTAAAATCTGTAAATTTACTTAAAATAACCTTTACAATTGAATCATCAAATTACCTGCAAAAATAAAAACAGCTGTGCCAATTTTGTCAACTATGGATTGTGAATAGTTAGAAGAACCAAACCACTCTACCAACAGAGAAGTCCACCCTAAGTGAGAAGTCTACCCTCAACTCCATCAACCCTACATCTACACTGCCAAAACCACACATTCCCAACACCGCAGCAGGCTCATCACAAAGCAGGGAGTGCCTGACAGACAGACACCTGGGCCTGTGGGAGGGAGGGTGGCTGGCCTCTTGGCACCGGACAAACATTCTCAAGGTAGAGCTGCACACATACATTGTGTGAATTTCATTCCAATAAATTAAACAGAATTCAAAGAAAGCTGACCTTCACCTCCGCACTTTCTCACGGTGACTAATTTTAAGACGATTGTGTTACAACACATACAGTACATCTTCACTTACTCCACTAGGCTATAAAGACAAACTATTACCACACCAGAAATATCACAGAACCCAACAAGGCTTGCTGGGCCAACACTCACCTGAATGACCCCTTCCATCATGCTCACCATCTTGTTGACAACAGCAATGGCCTTATGTGTGCGCTCTGTTGGACTGATGTCAGGCCTGTGCTGGCTGGACAATACATACCGGCATGCCATGTATAACACATATGTAGGAGACAACTTAAAATGGACTGTAGAGCTATTGGTATAGTTTATAATGGCAGATAAAAAAGAATCTTCAGCTGTAAAGAGATTTTAGAAAAGAAGAAAAATGAACAAAAAAGTATGAACTGGAGAAAAATAGAACAAAGACCAAGAACTCGCTCACTAGTAATAGAATCTAAAATGACTCACAGCTTTCCCTGAATTCAATGCTGGCAGGCAGTATCAGTTCCGGCCCAGCCCCGTCCTGAGTTCTAAAAGAAAAACCGACATCACTTCAGTAAGGTCAACAGGTACCTATGCACACTTCCATAACCAGTTTGTCCCCACATGGCGTTGTGAAGTGTTAAATCATACACTGCACAGTCTCCAGCCGCTTCTGTTAACCTAGGCACACACTCAGGTGAATGAATGGACAGGAGACTGGCTCCTTCAAGGACAGAATTCTAGTGTGAGGGCAGAGAAGACACACACGTCTGGATTATTAATAAGCACTGCATGTTGAAGACAAGGATCTAACCACCTAGCTCAGGTAACAGTGAACAGATCAAGTTTTCTAGTAATTTACAGACCGGCTAACTGAAATATTCTTTCCCATTGGCAAAGAGGTCCGTCCGTTCTCCTCATTATCTGACCTTTGCCAAGCATGTAAAGATGAATAAAAAGAAAAGAATACCCAGGGACTGGAGAAATTGACTAACATTAAAAACGATGCTGAGAACAGAGTTTGGATCCCAGCACCCATGTAACAAACATACATATGTACGTGTGTACACACACACACACACACACACACACTAAATCTAAAGAAAAAAGAACACAATGTAAGTTAACACATTATCATTTTTAAAGCAAAAATCTTTCCATTAAATTCTATTATTCAAAGTTTACTTCAGTCTGTAATTTAACAATTTGAGTTTACCTTAAGAATTAGGAAAACAGTATGATTTAAATGCATGAGTATTTCAACACAGTTCTTAATAATAAAAGAAAAAAATTTGAGACACGATCTCACCATAAAGTCCTGGCTGGTATGGAATCGACTATGTAGACCAGACTGGCCTCAAACTCATAAACTCTGAGATTTGCTTGCCTCCAGGATTAACTGTGTGCACTATCTTGCTTGGCTGGCAGTTTCAAATTTTTAAAAGAATTATCTTGGCCGGGCATTGGTGGCACACGCCTTTAATCCCAGCACTGGGGAGGCAGAGGCAGGTGGATCTTTGTGAGTTTGAGGCCAGCCTGGCCTACAGATTGAATCCCAGGACAGCCTGTCTCAAGAATAAATAAATAAATAAATAAATAAATAATGAGGAGGAGGAGAAGCAGCAGCAGCAGCTGCAACAGCTTGGATAAATTGTATAAATTAGTCATTTCATTATTTTAACAAATTTAGTAAAGACATTAACTGAAAAAAGGAAAAAAATTGGAGATGATTAAAAGAAAAGCTACTCCCATCACTCAAAAGGATGTTTATACTTGCTTAAAATTATAATTTTAACAATGACTAAGACTTTATACTATACCAATTAAGAACTGCTAATGTCATCATTGTCAATGTGAAAACTGCAGGAGGAATTAGAAGGGTTTATCTGTTTCCATCCTGTCTTAATATCAACAAACAACATCCTTAGTGTAAGTAAAACTTTTAGTACCAGCATTACTTTGCAAGAAATTATCAAAATATGTCCTTATGAGCAATAATTTTAATTAGCCTTCACATGGCTGTTTTGCTGTAACAGGAATTATTTACTTGCTTACATGGTCCGTGTGTCCTGTTCCACCTAAACTCCTATCTTCCATCACATACAGACACACGGCTGTGGTCACTACAGCACAGCACCGACTCTTACAGATACAGTGGCACACCTTTAATCCCAGCCCCTGGGATTGAAGAGACAGGGTTCCCATAGTCAGTGACTCTACACCACCCAAAACAAGTATAAATGGAGGAAGAAAACTATGTTTTACAACATCCAATAATCACACAGCAAATACTGTGATACTTGCTGATAGTTACGTATTTCATTACTGGACTGAAGTTATTACTCATCTTGTAACACACAGTGCCCTCTGCTGGAGAATGGCGAAGTAACAGACTTTTTATGGCCTAGGACTGCACTGACAATTGGCTCTGAGCATGAGCAAGTCTCTGCCACTGCCAATCATCTGTTTTGGGTCTGTGACAAGAACAGCAAGAACATCTCCTCCAAGACCTGTGATGGTCAGCTCCCCGCTAACCACATACAGGGTACACTTGGCATCCCTGCTCCCCGTCTGAGGCCTCAGATGACAGTGAGCATTGGGGCACAGAGTACCCAGCACTTAAAATGAAGAACCCTGATTCACCCTCTGCTGCCTCCGCAGGGAGATATACCCCATTAGAGTGTGGGACAGGGAATTAGTTCTGTGTTTACATGTTTTTAATTTCATCTACAAATGGATGCGATAATTAATTTTCTCTATAAAAATGATCACATACTAAAATGTTACAAAAACTTCCTTTCTCTATACGCTACAGATCAGGTAACTTAAAAGGAAAGTGAAACTCAATGTGCCTGTGTCGCCAAGGCTACCCTGTGGTGAGTAAGGAATGCAATTACTAAACATTCACTTTATTCGTCTTCAATTCAGTAATATAAAAATACTCATAAAAGCCTATTAAACTGTAAAACTTCTGGCTGAATCTACAAACTTGGCAATCTCTTTTTTTTTTAACCCCAAAGCCTCCTCTAAGGTGTTCACTTGCATAGCACCTAGTCAACGTGGTTACCTGCTTTCTCTTCGCCGGTAGTCCTGCTCCTGGTCCAGTCGGACCATCGGCTTCACCATCCCTCGCTCGGCTGTACTGGAGGCAGAGGACACCCTGTCACTGTCCAGTCTAGTAGTACTCTGTACCGAGGGAAGCCACAGTGCGTTAGGAACACCTCACGCCCCAATCAGTCACGCTTTACCCTCTGCACTGTGGGTGCCAATCTCACGTGGGCCGCTATGCGGGGAAGTAAAGACAAGGGACACGGGACGGGTGAGTGGGAAACACAGGTCAGAAACTCGCTCACAGCAGTGAGAGCCAGCAGCATGAAGAACACAGCCACTCTCAAAGAGCAAGGAAAAACTTTAGCAACAACATAGAAAGACAGAATTGTTTGAAAGAACAGTCATTTTATTTCCCCAAGTTACACTCATAAAAAGAAAACTTGCCAGTAAATGGCTTTAAAACTTAAAAAAATAAAATAAACATAAATGACCAATAATGGCAATGGAAAAAGAGATTAGGACATGTTTATGCGTTATTATAGTAGAGAATTATTTTTAAATGACTTAAGAAAACAACAACAACAACAAAAACCTGCTCACAATTAACTGTCACAGTACAGAAAGGTATGTCGATTAGATGAACAAAAGCCTAGTAGAGCTGAAACACCTAAGTGAACACAAGGCTATGACCTGAGCACTCTGGGGAGGGTCCACTACGGGCTTCCACTCCCCTCTATTTACCAAGCCTGCTATGCTGAGTACACAGTGTGAGACAATGTGCATGGCCTCTGAAGTATTTCTTCACCTGTATGTGCCAAGGTCCTTGCAGCATGGCACTCTTCAAAGCATTAGAGGCGTTAACAACAATTCATGACCCCTGTGTCCAGAGTTCATGGGCCACATCATCAATGAGCAAGCAGAGGCACCAGGTGGTAATAATAACTACACAAAAGCCTTACGTGCAGAAGTATGACCTCATCAGGAGGATGGGCTAAGACAAGTAGAGGTCAACCATGCAAAAACAAAGGATAAGACCTAGTAGAAGATAAAAAGAGCCTCAGACGAAAGGAGTGGGCACACCACGTAAGGACAGAGGGTGAAGTGAGAAGCCAGTGTGAAGGCCAGGATCTATTGCCTGAAGAGTTAGCAGAGGCTTTGACGGCAGGGCTCCAACAGAACAAAACGCACGCACGTCTCTAAAATTCAAGAGCAATGACAACCAGCAAGGGCTGGTCAGTGACACCTGAGAGGAACTGCTACTCACAAAAGTGCCCTGCCCTTTAAATGAGTGCTGAATGCTAACACGTAAGGCAGAGGCCGGGTGGATTCCTCACAGCCAGAGAAGCAGGACATCGCGGTCCTCATGCAGGAGTCGTGCAAAAGAAAGGAATCAAAGGCAACTGCAACAGAGTTCAGTTGGGCAAAGCCATGGTTGGTGGTGTAACTAAAATGGAGGAACGAGACAGATGTAAATTTAAACAAAACCCAGGCTTAATCCGCTACGTTAAATTTGAAGTACTCATCAGATGCGTAATAGAAAATCAGTCAAGCATCTGATTTTAGTTTGGGGAGACCAGGGTCAAAGACACACACTATGGGGACAGTGGACATCAAATGGTGGCATCTTAGGCAGCATGGAGGGTCAGCAAGGGAACATGTATAAGCAGAAGAGACAGAGCTGAGCTCTCCAATCATCACGAGATAAGTGCATCTGAGAAAGGGGTGCCAACAATCCCCAACACAGAGTCAGCACACCGCTGCCCTGGTAAACGCAGACCAGTCCACACAACTGTCAATAAATGAAGGGGCTCAACGAGCTTTGCAGTGACTGCAATCCAGGATCAGGTCACCAAGATGAGGAGAGACATCCCAGGAACAGAGAATGACTTAGAGAAGCGAGCAACCCCCAGCATGGTCTGGCTGGCCAGAGGTTACACACAGCAGCAGCACAGCTAACATACACACAAACACACACACACACACACACACACACACACACACACACCCTGCTTCAAAGAGAAAGCACTATCTCCTGACTTCATAACAAAAGGAACAACTGGCTACCTTTCATTTATGCACCACCAGGTGAGCAGGTGTAGCAGAGAGACAGGCTGCTGTGAAACCCAGGCTTACAAAGGAGCTTCTGTCTTTGGGTATCCTCTAACATCCAACCCCCTAGATGATCAGGTCATGGATCCGCAACCACCTACCCTGCTTGCTGGCAATGCTGTCCCGCTGTGAATATCTCCTCCCAAATCAAAGGTTGTCTCCTGAATGGCTCTAGTGAATGAAAAGGAAACATAAAAATTAAATTTCAACTGACAGGGTAGTACTCTTAACACAACAAGAATAGGTAAGTATTCTATTCCAATATTCAAGGATCATTAATAAATTCATTTATTTTGGCCTATAGACTTTTTAAAAAGTCACACTAAACCCGTGAGCTTTTCTTATTAGGAAGTATACCAAACATTCTCAGGATCCTGTTCTTAAAACCACATGTTAATAACAAAAACCGGGGCTGAAGAAATGGCTCTATGATTAAGAGTACTTGCTATTCTTGGCAGAGAACCTGAGTTCAATTACCAGCACCCACATGATAGCCCACAACCATATATAACCCCAATTTTAGGGGATCTCACACTCTCTTCTGGCTTCTGTGGGCATCAAGCAGACATATGATGTACAAACAGACATATAGGCAAAACACTTGTACACATAAAGAAAACAAAAACTTTAAAATAATACAAAAAATAATATTCTCAATAGTAACAACACTGTGGCAGGCAAAACTATATTCTTTGGCACAAATAAGGCATAAATGCAACACACTGGTCCCAACCTAAGAAGAAAAGAATTCTAAAGGTGCCTGTAAGCTAACAAGAATAAGGTAACAACTATGTCTGGATTGCTCTAACATCTGAGAACTACATGGTTTAATTTCAAAGTTTGATTGATAGACTGAAACAAGTAAGCAATGTTGAAATTCAAGTCATTTTTCTATTAAAACTTCCTCTAAATAAGTCTCCAAGAACATAAAATATCTTGCAATGTAAAGCAATACTATGCTCTGAATAGAAACTCCTAAGAATTTTTTTTACTAAGTAATCATTAACTTTCTCTGTGTAACTGTCTCCAAGACCTCAGTTTGGGGATTTCAGGGGCGTGTGATGACACGCTCATATGTGAATTATTCACATATCATAGTCTTGATCCACTGAACACATATGTCATTGCTTCAATCAGTACATGTTACTACTATGTGTCCACACTGGAGAAAAAAATATTAACTCTGAGCAGTACCACCTGGTCCAAAGTGTCAGATCTGTGGCGTTAACCCCAACAACACACTAGGACTCTGTGAGTTTGAGGCCAGTCTGGTCTACAGTTGAGTTTCAGGACAGACGGGGTTACATGGTGACACCCTGTCTTTGACAAACAAATTGTGGGTGGGGCAGTACAGAGAGTGTACTGACACACCAGTTTACAGGTTGTCTTGTGTTCATGTCCTTTGGGGACACTTCTGTGAACTTAGCTTTCTGTAAATAGCACAGTTGTGACAATTATTTCTCCAAGATCGGTATCTTATTAACTTATAAAATAGATAGCAAAGTAGCTTAACAGTGTATGCTTCCAAAATTATTACCAAAAGGAAAGTAACTCTTCACACACACACACACACACACAACACACACACACACACACACACACACACACACACACACACACACACACACACCAAAAAAGACATAACAGACCACACTGCAAGCCCTCCTGAGGACACTAGGTGGAGCTAACATGTTCTGATTTCCCCCAACCTTTTCGTTAGTAGAGCTGTTTAGACAAGGAGGATAGTTGTTAAATACTATTATTAGTTACCTAGGGTGACTCCTCTAAAAGGAAGAAACTTTAAAACCAGGCAGAACTTCCAATTTCAAGATTAGTCAGAATCTTTCTACTTTTTTTTTTGTCCCCAAACCAATCCAAATTTATAATAAACTCCTAATCCATAAACTTCACTTTGACATTTAAGAAAGTTTTGTTTTTATTGTACATGGATGTTTCACCTGCATGTATATATGTGGAATACGTGTGTGTAGCACCCACATCACAACCCCTGGAACTAATTACAGACAGTTGGGAGCCTCCTCACTCAGGTGCTCTTAAGCACTGAGCCATGTCTACCTCCAGACCCTTCACTTTTATGTACGTGAACATAAAGATGGGAAAAATGGGAGTGAGTAAAGTGCTTGCTTCATTGCCAGTCTGACGACCTGAATTTTATCCACGGGACCCACTCATATGAAATATCCTTCTCGCTTCCAGAAAAAGAGCATGCACACACACATGCAGAGAGAAAATAAGACAAGCAATAAAAACTGAAAATAGAAGGACATGTACATCTAGTTGAACTCACTTTATAGACAGAACACTAAAACCCGCAAGCTGACCCATCGCACTCACCCGGGTTTATGCCTCGGGCCCTTGACCACCAGGCCTCCATCCACAGACCTCTTCGAAAGAACATGGTCCTGGACGGGGTCCACAAACTTAAACACGTGTGAGGTGCCAAACTGCACTTTCATGCCGCTCTGCAGCATGGTGGTCTCCGAGATGCGCTGCCCATCCACGTAGGTCTCTGCATCCATACTTCTGGGCGTCACAGTGACCACTCCGTCCATGTTAGTGAGGTCACAGTGATGAGGCTGAATTCCTGGGCCAAACAACTGAAAAGTGAAGAAAAAGATAGTCCATCACCAAGTACACAGCGCCTAAAAAAGTCAAGTTCTGCCATGAAAAACGCAGACTAACACGGCCTGGATTTTTGTTGTTGTTTGTTTTTGTTTTTTTTTCCCAGTGGATTTCTCTCTTAATAGTGTAAAATTATGCATACTGTAACTGTGCCTTATTGGTCATGTGACTGGAGCTCAGGAAGCAGTTCAATAGTATTGTCCTTGGCAATTTCCATGAGGTGCTGGGTTCCAACCCCAGGGCTTCCCCACAAGCATACACACAAAGCGAATCATCTTAAACATCAACTATGCAATGAACAGATGAATCTATACAGGAAATTGTTGCTTTTTAAAAGTCTTATTTATATTTTAAGAACTAAGGAATATGAATCAGAACTACAAACCCAATCACTTTACTCTTCTTATACAGAAACAAGAAGTGCATAGCAAAGGTGATTTGGTCAAGTCCAATGTCAAATGCTGACATTCTTTCTTTAAGTTCTTAAGATGCTCGGGCAGTGCTGACTGCGAGCAGGCGTGGTCATCCTAAGACAGACCTATCAACGAGCACCTCTGCTTCCCAAACAGGAGTGAACAGACTGAAGTGTTCCGGCAGCACACATTACAGGAGGTGCATTCTGGACACAGACGTATCATGCTCTCTCTGCACTAAGCAGAGAAAAGTGAGTCTGAGAAGACTGAACGACTTAAGAGTTAAAAACAAGGCCTGTTCCTCTGATTCCTTCTTATGTGGCTGGCTCCCTGATATGTGCTCATTATAACTACTAATAGGAGGACTTATGTGGCAAACTCAATCCAGTACCTGGATAGAATTGTCATCGAACTTTTCTGTCCCAACTTCAGTCACGCTTAATTGAAGGCGGTATAACTTTGGCTTGTCTCTGGAGTCAGAGCCATCTGTGAGAAGAGAAGGCATCAAGCTCTGTTTGTGAAGTCTAGTAACCGAATGTTTGAAACAAACAAGTCATCTTACTAAGGATAGTACAGTTTCACTTCTCAGGATTTCATTCCCAGGACTCTCCAACTAACATCATACACGGTAACTCACTAGACACAGACACCAATCAGCTTCTGTTCGTACAAAATACTAAGTGTTATTAATTCCAACATTTACTGATGAAACTTTTTTCCCCGGCACACTACCCTAGAAATTCCTTGTTGACTCTGAGGATGGAATTGTATTGAGAACAAAGAGTAAGACAACAGAAGCCATTAGGGCAGAATCGCCACGCACCCTAAAGTTCACGGCACACAATACAAGGTGTGGTACGACAATGCTCGCCCGGCTCACCCAGGCCTCCTGAATCACAATCTAAATCTCACGTGTTCCGGTGTGTACCACTGATAAGAAATGCTACTGAGATGCTTAACTCCCTTCAGAACCGGGTCAAAGGCGGAAAGGAAAACCTCTTTTGCTTTTTATTTTCTAATCTGTTCCCTGAGAAATTCATACATGCTTTGATCATATTCACACCATACCCCCAACTCCTTCAGATTTGCCCACCCAACTCTGTGCCCTTTAAAGAAAACATGGAGTGTGACTACCCTAAGCCAGACTTTCTGTGATGGGCAAGGAGCAGGGAGACAGGGAGCAGCAGAGCCCTGGCCCACTGGCTCTCACCCACTGTATTCCGTCCGCAGAAAGGGTATTTGTTCATCCAAGTCCTCTCTGATCCCCCAGATAACACAACAGACATACTCACAGAACCTAAGAATTAGTATATACAATCCCAGGGCTCCAGCCCAGCCACAACATTCGGTGTGGGCTGCAAACGCACCGAGCAAGGTTCCCTTGTGAAAGCAAGTGAGTCTCCCCAAGTAATTTTCAGTCATTTACTCAAGTCTTCAGTTTCTGGAGTCCATGTTGGCACTGAGAGGTTCAGAAAGTCTGGAGGACTCTGTGCACACAGACTATTAAATCTTAAAATCTGTCAGCTGTGTTGTATGTAGTGTGAACTCTTACAAACAAGACACCGTAAGTACCTGAGTTCTCTAGAACCAACTTTACTCTTACGGTGCACAAATCAGCGCTCTGCTGTTATGATTTTCTATCTCTGGGATATCATCAGATCTAGCATCTGGGTGAAGGCAAGATGAAACTGGAGTGTGCCAGAGACATAAGTTGGGATATTCTCAACTCTATAAATATTCTCAGAAACTCTGGATTCAAATGAGACAGGCATCAAAATCACAGAAGCTAAACACTGATTAGCTTGGTTAATGTCAGCACTTGTGGATACTGAGTCTGAAGGAAGAGAGGCTTAAAGCCAGCAATGTGTTAAGACCCTGTCTCAAAAACAAAGCAAACGAAAGTGTTGTAGGCTTTTCCTGAGGTGCACCCCTCTCCTCCTGGGATGTTTGCTGCCGTTTGCTTCACTATGGCAGGCAGTTAACAAACCAGCCCCATCAATTCCAAGCTCCGTGGTAGCTAGGCCACACTGGCCTTCCTTAATAACTAATGTTCTAGAGCAAACAGTTATACTAAAAGTGAAACAATGCAGTACAGCCACACAAACAACACACACAAATTACAAAGGAACAAAGTAGGTGACCATGTGAGTCAAAGCCACAGGAACAACAACAAAAGGCCAGTCCGCTAAGAGCAACGTCCACATTGACACCCTTCTGCAGCTAGCAAAAACTTTCAGAGCTTGCTTTCCCAGTCTCTACCACTTCACCGTAACAGAAAGCTGTAGACAAACTTGTGTAGAGTGCAGAGGATCTCAGGGCTACAGGACAAGTGGATGGATGGCAGGACATCTAGTCCAAGCTGAGGGAGGTGGCCAGTGAGGGCGGCTGGAAGAGCCAGTGGCAGCCCACCTCCAGCGCAGGAGTATTACAGGTGCTCCCTCTACCTCCATTCCAATTGTCCTTCATCTCCAAGGAGCACTCTACACAGCCAACTGTCCACAGCACCCGAACGCCTCTCCAATGGAAAATCAGGGTATCTGAAGTACTACAGGCCAGCTGTAAGAAGACCCGTGGCAGACACAACAGGCTACCAGAGCCCTAGCTAAGTTTCAGATCGTAACTTTCCCCCAGATTCTGTGATAGTCACATATATTTAGTATAACACATATCTTGGGGGACTGAACCTACCTTTAAACACAAACTCCATGACCATTTAACACACAGCTTAGCACACGGCCTACAGGAAATTGCACCGACATGCTTAGAGTGCCCGGGTGATGACCATTACATGAGACACTTAAGACATTTCAACCCTGGAGTGAGTGGTGCTTACTTAGCCTGCTCTCTCTAAGTATGAAAGGGACACAAACCGTAGCACAGCACAAGAGCACTTAAAGGCCCTTTGCTTGCCGTCTGCAGCTCTGTAGTCAACCCTCTGACTACATCCACTTCCCGAAATAAACCTGGAAAAGGAAAGCAGCAGGAAAAGCTCCCAATAAATTATCTGGGTGCTGGACGTAGGGCACTGAGCAGATACGAGCAGAAAGAGTGCGTGTTACGCTTCTTACACATACAGTGTCTGTTCAGGCAACCCTGTTTCCCTAAGAAGTTGTTAAAAAGTAGTATTAAGTACAGCGTTACCTTCGTAAGTGTGGTAGTTGTAGTAGGCAAAGTGATTCCTTCTCCCTGGGGTTAAGGGACAAGCCAGGACCCAGGTGAAGGCAGCATCAGCAGGAGAGAGCCCATGCGGAGCAGGGGGAGAGGGGGGGAGAAGAGAGGCAAAGGGTGAGCTTCAGTGAGACGTTTCAAAGGAGGAAATGCCAAGTTTGCCCTCTAGCAGTCAGGGCTGTGCAGAAAGACTGTGGCAGACCCCGGTCAGTGTTTTAGAAACCAGGGCAGACTGTTAAGGAAAACAGCAGGACAATAGGTGAGTCACCAGGCCAGCTTGTGTTAACAGTGAGCTAACCTGACAGGAAGTTACCACCCATTTGGCTGGCTCCTTCTGCTCAGGGGACACAGGAAAGTCAGCACCCTGGCTCCCGCTCTTCTACAACACTGTAAACATGCCAGCACCTCAGAAACTTCCTTCCAGTGCCTGGCAGGTCTTTCACACTTAGGGCACACACTTGATTGACAATGTGCCCAGTGGAAATAGAGCCCTCATCCATTCACAACATACCAACATGCATGAATATTTCCTATAGTGGGACACTATCCACTCAGAATACTGATCTGAAAAGGTATCACGGCATAACTCTGATGCAACAAAGACCTTATTCTAGCACTCAGGCCTGCCACCAGAGCCATTACCTTCAGGTCAAAAGTAGTGCTTCCTCGTCTTCGGTACCTGTGCAACAATAATGAAGGCAGCTCTTACCAGCAGCCCAGAGAACTTGAAGGGAGTGTGGGCCTGGAGCGTCAAGGACACTGACACTAACCCGTGCATGTCACCTGGCGTCACAGACGGCCTTACTCATACCCATTGGTCTACATAAGGAACGCTATAAATTTTGCCCAAAGGTAACAGAGTGCTAAGAAACACACTAGTGAAGATACAATTATGTTGTTGTAGTGTCTGATGACAAGTAGTACAGAACTAATCTTTATTCAGGGTCTGTCGTCTTTTAAACGCAGAATATTCTATGCATGTGATTATCCAAGAGACAAGTAAAAACTAAGCAGTTAAAATGGAAGCACTCACTAGAAGAAGAGGTTGGATTTAATCTTGTGCTGTTACTATTCCATCTCTAAGGTCCACAATGATGCCTAGTATAGCCTCTTCGCTATGTACCAAAATCTATGATCTACTATACTTTTAAAAAGTACTATCAATTGCTAACAACTAAGACTCTTCAACTATTAAAAATAAGTTCTGCAACTGATGCAATACCCTCCCCGCATGCCCCAAGACAGGGTCTCTCTGTGTAGCCCTGGCTGTCTTGGAACACTTTATAGACCAGAATGGCCTCACACTCACAGAGATCCTCCGCCTCCGCCTGCTGAGTGCTAGGATTAAAAGTGTGCACCGCCACTGCCCAGCTCTGACATAACAAGTTAATGTACAGACCTATACCTGAAAAGCAGCCTAAAATTTTCAGCTGGAAACAACTGCTGTTTTTCTTTTCTTCAGCTACACTACGAACAGTAACACAGAGTGTTCCAATTTACAGTGAGAAACAAAACATCAAAATGAACTTCCCAGGCAGAGAGCTGAGTAAAGAGCAGCAGAGATCAATTCCTCACAAACTGCTTAGCATGGAAACGGGTCCTCGAGCACAATTAAATGTGAGACCACTCCCCCAGAACCACACTGCCATGGCCATGAGTTACAGTGGCTTTCAAAGCACTCAATGTAACTCAGCTACCTCCTAAGACTGTTGAACCACAAAGGACATATCTAATCTCTAGTTAATTATAATAGCCAGCTGGGTAAAACGTAATCAGCCTTAGAAATAAAAATGAACATTAAAAACCAAAGGAGGGAGGGGAAAAAAACCTACCCAAGGAACTATATATTATTTATGCAATGTATTGTTTTTATGCTAACTTCCTCTAACTAACTGGATTTTACTATGGTTCCCAACTAGGAGAAGGTGGATGAAGTAACTTCATACTATTCTCAATAACACAGGTCACATAATCGCATCTTAACTAATTAGAAATGATGCAATTTTAGCTGACTGATAAATGTCACAAAGGGCACATATATGCAGATACATACTACATGAGGACGTGTGTTACATGAAACACTTAAAGAATGTCAGTGTATTTGCCTATCTGGTGACTAACATCTTTAGCTATAAAAATTCTATAAGCAATATAACTAGAAGATTAATATGAGTATCAATGTGTGATACTATTGTAAAACATCCTACTGGTTGCTAAGATAGGTTTTAAAGACATACTGATAAATTTAAGGACATTCCTTTTGATCACTGTACATATACATAACTAACAGCATAATCTCTCTCCCTCACACACATGAATACACATAGATTGGCGCCAGGAATAGTAAATTTCAATTGTTTTAGTACATTAACTAAAGTTACTTTGGAAAATTTTTAAAGTAACTGATTATCTAAAACTTTTAAATGGTACTCATACTTTAAAGCTTATGTTAGATTCATGTGAACTTTATTTTTATGTATGAAATTAATGTACTCTATGGCCTTAAGGGTTTTTTTTTTTTTTTTTTTTTTAGCTTTTTGTCATTTTATGAATGTTACACTTTTAATGTAAATGGACACTTAAGCTAAAAACATTCATTTCCTGACACGGCCAGCTTTCTCACCTGGGCTTAACTCTACTAAGTAGGGCAGTTTCTCGGGAGGAAGAGCAGAGCCACAGCCAGACCCGTCGACCCTATCCTTCCCCTTCGGCAGCTTCCCTTCAACGTGCTTCTTCATTTTCTTTGGGATATAGTCCGGTGGCCTCCTCTTCAACTGAAAGACTAAAATTCCTAGAACAGTGACAACGGCAATTATCAATGGAGCAAACTTGGCAGGTGATGATCACTGGCTAACAACCACTGGCCCAAACATTACCAAGAAGATGTTATTTTAATCACATCTGCCAAGTAGCAGAGGAGCAAAGCTTGACCCAATTGATAACTTAGTCAGTGAAGGATGAACTAGTCCAGTCTCTAACCAGCAACATGCAGAAATTATTTTTAACTGACAGCTAGCTGCCAAAGGATAGCTATGTGCTAGTAAGCAGCATATTAGTTAAAAATAAATGAACGCGCAGTTGTAGATAGACCTATCAACATTCACACACAAATACAGATATACAAACATCTCAGCTGACCTGATTTTTATTTAATTCAAATGAACTAACTCAAAATTCAAAACAACTTTCGAAACAAGACTTAACTTTTATAAGTGTCTATAATAGTACAGAATAGGTAGTTTAATAAAACTAGAAATACACTTATTCTTAGGGTTTTTTGTATTTTTAAGTTATCAATCTAGATGCAATATGCTTATTACATAATTATTAGATATGATTAGGAAGGATTTTTATGTCTTTGTTAATATAAAGGCACTCACCTAGGAAGTCAACTGTACCAATCTTAATGTGAGAAACTATACTTCATCAAAAACACAACATTAAATACTTTGCTGCTTTGAAATAGAGGGAAATATCCAAATACGCATGCATTACAAGTTGAGTGTCCATAAACCAAACCTAAAATCCAAAATGCTACAATTTCAAACATGATACGAATGAAAACAACCTCATGACAGGTAGCAGGTCAAACACCAATACACTAAAACGTACGGACCCAATTACGAGCAGGGTGTGTGTATAAGGTAGACACAGAAGAAGATGCCAAGACTCCATCTGCAAGCACTCAGACCTCAAAAGTTCTGGAATCTGAAACACTTCTGGGTTCTGAATATCTCCAATTAGGATTGCTCAGCCCATATCTAAAATGACTGTATTACTGGACAAACTTTAGGGTCGGGGGCATTCCCCTGTCCTAACAAACCTGCTCAAACACCGCCTAACTGGCGTGGTCAGTATGGACACTATTTCACAGCTCGTCTTTCCCGGCTAGTGTCTGTCATCTCGCCTGCCATGTCATCTGCAGAGGACACTCGAATGAGCGGAGTGTGGCCCCACAGGGCAAGGCGCACACGCACACACCACGCATACCCACACACCCCCTTCCGTGTTAGGTGGCCTACTGAGGAGGCCCCCAGTGATGTCGTTTACCTTTGTCACTTGGCCACTCCCTGAAGATCTGTAAAGGACACTCGTCATCGTCAAGAACAACCTCCTTAGCACCTCTGTCATCAGAGTGCTGGGCTCCGGGAGGAAGCATAACCTAATAAAAAGATAATTATCAAAGGACATAAAAGCAAATCATCAAGGACGCAAAAGGGCTGTTGCTATTTTTGGTCTGACTCTATGGCCCGGGCTGACCCCAAACTTATGACCTTCCTGCTTCCTGGGGACTGGTATAGTCCTGTATCTATCTTGAAAGTACTGGTCTGAATGAGCTAAACAAACAAAAAACTTGTCAAGTACTTTACATAGTTGCTATTGATCATTGAAAAGAAAAAAAAAAATTTAACAAAGTATAGGAAATTTTCCCATGGAAAAACCACATAGAATAGTTAGCCTTCAAGCAATTTCTTAAGGAAAGATGACGCCTCTACTGCAGTCCCACTCCATCTTTCACATTCCAGCAAGTATTTATAAAGCAAATTTACAAAATCTGAAATATTTAATGCACTCAGAACTCAAGACAGTTTTATTATGAATAACTGTACATTTTAAGTAGAGTGTTTAGGTATATTACATAACCGTTCAACAACTCTTTGCAGGCAACTGTTTGATGATCTTGTGTACACTACTCTATCTGGTTTTCCCCGATCCTTATTTTTCCACGATAAATGCTGTCACTGTTTACTATGCATGGAGGGGGAATGTGGTTGACGGCTGTGCAGACAACTGCCGACCTAGGCTCTCTTCACTCTGATTCACTGTAAACAAACACAGGAAGCCAAGCTATTGCTTTCAACTTCTTAACACAACAGACCTTAGTGTGCAAACCTACTATTGTGCTTACACATAAAACAGATAAAACAATTCTGTGGAAATCTCTTAATCCTTTCCAGAAGGCTTCCAATTAGCTTTAAAGGAAAGGGAATAATAATATACCTATGTTAACCTCATCTTTCCTTTTCATTAGTATTTTAAAGTTAATATCCTACCACGTCAAGACTTGACCTTCAATTTTCTCTTTTCCCTCTGTGTCACTCGTTTTGGGGGCACAATTTTTTCAGGGGCCCGAGTGTTACTAATGGCTCACCAGCCAGGCCCCGAGCTTCATGTGTCACAGACCTCTCCCACTCTCGGGTCTGAAATCACCATCGCTGCTCTACCTCCTGGCCTTTTGGTCTCCCTGCACTACTATAAGCTCTTGCAGGGGCAGCTCTTAACTCTGTGCCCTAGCAGAATAGCTAACAAACAGAAAAGAAGACATTAAACACTTAACAGTTATCTGGATATATAAAATTAATAAAGTGTGGACAGCTATAGTTTACCTTGGCAAGCTGAGAAGATAATGCATTTCTAACTCAGGTAAATGATCAACTAGGCTGCCTAAGCTGGCTGACTAGAGCAAAAACCCGAAAGCAAAGGAGCTCCTCCAAAGAAATCAAGCTCCTAGTCAGGGGACGAAGAGACAAGAGCAAAAAAAAAAAAAAAAAAAAAAAAAAAAAGAGAGAGAGAGAGAGAGAGAGAGAGAGAGAGAGAGATACCATAACAGAGGGAGCCATTATAAGTTTGAAGAGAAAACTGACTCTAGAGAAATGTCCAGAGCTAATGAACTACTGACAGTGGATGTCGTCTGGAGGAGGGAGACTCAGTTTCCTTTAAGGAAATGATCCCTGGTAAACTGGTCACGCTTAGTTGATGACTCCACACCCATGAGTAAATATATTTGAAGCACAAATTGAACCAAGTGGATTATTTGGAAAAATAAGATAAAAAGCAGGAAGCTCTCAGATCTTCTTCACGATGGGGCTGCAGACCTGAATCCTCTATGTACACAGATTCCCTACATCTTGGACTGAACAGCCACCAGGCTCTCTCCATCTCCAATGTGCGGCACTAAGATATTCTACTTATGTATTACGTAAGAGCACACACGTAAATTGGTTGTACTCCTCTGAAACTCTGACTTATACAAGATAAAAACTGGAAGAGTGCCTATCAAAATGTTAATGAAGAGGCTATCTTTTGGTAGAACAACTTTGGGCTATGTTTTATTCGATTATCATTACCTTTCGTTACGTTTACTTATTATTCCTGTAAGTGTATTAAATGGAGGGGGGTCATGAATAAGAGTGAACACAAACACGCAGTCTTAGCAGGAAGAACTTGGGGGAAGCAGTGATCATAGTCCATACCCGGGCAATGCAGTAGTCCTTGGGACTCTCTTTTTCCAGACCGTACTTCTCCAGAGATTCCGCTACAGCGAAGTCTGCAGAGTCTGTAGTAGACAGCAGGATTGTCTTGTACGGAATATTTGGTTTTAAACTGTCTGCATATATTCTCAGTGTTCCACCTGGAAAAATGTTTTTACATCTTTGAGTTCATCTTCATTTTGAGTCACAATCACTTTTAAACAGGGCACTCGAGCCCCAACTACAGTAGTAAAAATACAGTCAATAGCAACGTGGGGCTGACCCCAGAGTGTCTGTCTGCAGTACAGTTCTCATCTACTGCTCGACTTCCTGTTGCCAACTTCCTTAGCCTCCTCTACACTCTAAGACCTATTTCCTCCACTTCTACCCTGTAAACTTGCATCAGAAGCAAAGTATGAGACCCACTAAACAAAACTGTATAAAGTGAGCTCAGAACCAGAAGACCTCAGGTATTCAAGTCCAAAGACTTCTATGAGGGATTTGCCACCATGGTGGGGCTATTTCGATGCTAGGCAACTATAAACTAAATGTTTACATGTAGATATAGTCTTTGAAGGGGCCCAGAGTGATAGGAAGGGTAATTTGGATCTCCTCAGGTGTTCTGTTTTTTATATGGTCCCTTCTCAGTAGAAATAGACAAATGCCACATTATTGTCAATTTGACTCTCATAATCTTTTTTTCTATTAATAATTCAAGATTAAGAAACCCTGAACCAAGCCAGATATGATGACACAAGCCCTTACTCACTGTGGTGATATTTTGTTCATAACAAATAAAGCTCGCCTGAAGTTCAGAGTGCAGAGCTAGCCACTAGTTGGCCATAGAGGCCAGGCAGTGGTGGCTCAGACCTTTAAACCCAGCACTCGATAGACAGACATCTCTGTTAGCTCAAGGCCACCCTGGGTTACACAAAATTGATCCAGTCTAATAGAGAAAGAGCCAGGCAGTGGTGGCTCACACCTTTACTTGGGAGTCACAAGCCTTTAATCCCAGCATAAGGAGCTGGAGACAGGAAAAGATATGGCTGGGCAGAGAGGAACACAAGGCGAGAGGAGACAGGAGCTCATGGCAGTCTGAGCATTGGTAGAGTGAGAGCTCTGCTGGGGCTGGCCACTTTACTTCTCTGGTAGCTGACTGAGTTATTGGAATCAACTAGAATTTATGCTCCAACTTCCAGGACTCTGGAGGCAAAGGCAGAGGAATTGAAGCTCAAGGCCACCTTGTTCTACTATAAATTCCAGTACAGCCAGAGCTACACAGTGAGACCCGGTCTCAACAACAACAAAAAGAAGAGAGAAGAAATAAGAATCCCTGAATCAAGCTAATGTATTTGCAAACTGCAAACTACAAGGAATGTAGAAAAATGAAACAATACAGCCTACAAAAGCCTGTAACTCCTCAATTGCTAAATCTGAAGGTAATGAAATGCTTGAAATACTGGACATCAAAGCTCTACTTATAAGAATGATCAGTGACTTCAGAAGGAAACAAGGAAAGAAACCAATTCAGGAAGTAGAAGAGAAACAATGTGTACTGGGTCATGCATGCACCTGCACTCACATGTGCACATAGAAAATCAGTAAGTAAAATTTAAAACAAACAAGAGTCAGCAACACAAGCAAATTCAGCAAGGACACTACAATTTTAAAAATCAACTCAACTAACTGAAATACGTTGGCCACGTTTTGGATTGGCTACACTTTAAAGACATCAAAGAAAGTGAATATGTCTGTTATTTAAAGGTGTTGTTTAAAAATGCTTTACAAGTTCAGGAGCAAAGCCTGTGTGAGTCTGGATGCCTGATCTGATTCCAAACCACAGCTAAGGATAAGAAAGCTGCACCATTAAAACTTTGGGGGCAACTCCTAGGAAAATTATAGCCTCCCTCATCATGGTCAGATAAGAGGAGGTACCCCAGGCTCTGTCCCCAGTCTCAAAGACTAGCACACAGCCATAGTAGGCTAGCTCTCAGGGTACACTTTTCTCAAGGATTTATTAAAGCAGACAAAAACCAGGGCAGAAGAGATGGTTCTGTTAAGAGCTCCTGCTGCTGTTTCAGAGGACCCAGGTTCATTTCCCAGGACCACTGGGGTGGCTCACAGATCTGCAAACCCCAACTCCCTCTTCTGGACTTCTGGACATGTGCGCGAATGTACACATGAACTACTATAAATCTTTTTTCAAAAAGCTGACAAAAATATTGAGATGCAGTCTAATTATGTGGCTAGGCTGGCCTCAAACAAACAGCCCTCCTGCCTCCGTCCCCTGAAACTGAGGGTGTAAGTACACACCACAATACTGGCTCATTGCTCTTAACAATGGCTGTAAGGTTTTGACATCCTTTCTACCCAATTACTCTGCAGAGGGCAATGGATAGTGAAATAGAAGGATAGAGTTAATAACGGTAACTGTCTGTCTTGTCTAACATTCTCTGGGTTGAAGGGGTAGGGTGGGAAGAGCCCTGCTGGTAAGTACATAAGACTAACACTATCTATCTCTAAGTGAGAATAAGCCTATGTAAGACAAACATGGGACACACCTGCTACTAAAAGGCTACTTCACCTATGCTTTTAGTTTTGGAAATGCATGTATGAAAGTACACTGGATACATTTTACGGTGAATATGAAGGAAGACGGCCGTCTCTACCTGAGTCGGGCCGCCCATCTGAGCTTCGGAACTCCTGCATTCTCTTTTCAAGCTTTTGCTGCCGCCGCCGTTTCATAACTACCTCCGGGTTAGAAATCGTTCGAGTAAAGCTGGTTTCGGGCATGTCTTTGTAAACTTCAGCAGCCAGTCGAGAGTTTTCGCTGTAAGAAAAAAAGATAATCAACAACATTTTAAACTTTTTTCTCCTTAGAAATAGAAACAGCACAATGGCAAATGTCATCTGTCTACGCCTGTCCCCTCAGAGGTCTGTTGTTTTTTGTTTACTAGCTACTACGTGGTAATTACCATGAGATTAAAAATACAGTTTTCTCAGCCAGGTGATGGTGGCACACGCCTTGGGAGGCAGAGGCAGGGGATCTCTGTAACTCTAAAGCCAGCCTAGTCTACAGAGTGAGTGAGCTCCAGGACAGCTAGAGCTACACAGAGAAACAACAAAACAAAAGAACCCACACACAGTTTCTCTCAGATACAAACTAACAGACTAAGAGCTCTGTAAGTAAAACTTCCTAGGTTTACAACTTAGCTGCCATGGACAAATGAACAAAGTGACAAGGAAGATGTACAGAATGTAAGTTTCAATGTCTAGCAGCATATGCTGAAACACAACAAATGATATTACAGCACAGCATTCCAAATATAAGAAGCAATACTAAAATAATAGGAAATCTTGAAGGATCTAAATTAAATAGCATGATTATTTTGGGGTTTTTGTTGTTGTTTTGGAGCTGTCCTGGAACTCAATTTGTGGATCAGCCTATCCTCAAACTCAGAGATCCACCTGCCTCTGCCTCCTGCGTGCTGGGATTAAAGGTGTGCACCACCACCCAGCTGCATGATTGTTTGATTTTTTTTAACACCTAAAGATTTACCAAAATTTCCTGAAACTAAAATTTTGTAGGGATACTTCTCAAAAAATCTCTGCAAAGGAAATCAACTATACAAAGTGCTCGGTAGAAACTGAATACAAGGTATGATGGAAAAAAACAAAACAAAAACTTTAAATACTTAAGCATTAAGAATATCAACATAATTGTAATCAACATGCAATCATAAAATAATTTATTAACAATTTAATTCAACTGAAATAGTTCACTTTCTAAATCAAATAATATACCTGTCATAATATAAACCAAGGAAAGAAACAAGCCACAAGTTGTCCTGTTTGGACTCTCCTTTTCTAGGATGCTCTCCAGGATATCCACGCAAGTTTTTTTCCGTTCACAATCAGCCACACAGGTATCACCTCGTACGAGGCTACCTCTACAATGGGGCTTTTCCGATAGAACAGCCATGCCCAAGGTGCATACGGATTTAAAAGGGAAAGATCTACTTGACTCCCCAGCCCTGCCAATTCTGGCCAGTTTATATGAGCTAAACATGGAACCATAATTGCCTCTGGGACCAAAAGCACAAAAGTGAGTTTCACAGGACTAGCTGAAGACAGGGACAACTAAATTTGGTGGTCTGTTCAGGAAAAACTGTTAACCAGTGTTTGCCTAGAAGGAGCAGCCCTTTCCCGTTTGAGATGGCGTCTGCTACACATGGAAGGGCTTCAGTTCCCAAAGCAGTCTCACTCAGCTTTGCCGTCGTTTACCCGTAATGGAGTCCTTTGCTGTATTATACACACCTGGTTCACAGCACCTCGGCGGTCAGACTACTTCCCGAAAGACCTACCTGTCTTCGCCTTGGGAAGGCCTTTCTTCCTTATCGGAGGCTTGTCTCAATGCCTCTTTCTCTCTCTTCTTTTTCTCCTTCTTTTCTTTCTTTGAGAGAGTTCTCTTGAAGTTCTGGATAACGCCTTCCTTGTCCTGCTTCTCGGGTCCATTACTCTGAGCCTTCTGGTAAAAAGGAGCATCATTAGCTCACAGCCACGCCCAGGAACCACACCTGGGCGCTCAGGCTTCACCACAGCCTTCACCTCCACAAGATAAACTACACACACTCAAACAGGGAGGAGTGAGGGGAGCACTCACAGCCTGAGTAAACAGTCAGGGGTGAGGGGAGCACTCCACAGCCTGAGTAAACAGTGAGGGGTGAGGGGAGCACTCACAGCCTGAGTAAACAGTTGAGGGGTGAGGGGAGCACTCACAGCCTGAGTAAACAGGGAGGGACATTGGAAAATCCTACACAACTGAGTGACCCGTGCATGCAGGGAGCATGCACCGGTCTGCAAATTCCACCTCTATCTAAAGCAAAACAAAAAGCCAAATTCACACAGAAAGTAGGGTGTAGAGGTAAAAGTCCACCGAATGAGTATCTTTATACAGCTGCAAACCAAAGTTAGCAGTAGTGATAAGCTGGTTTTCACAAACCAAATCTGTACCTACTTCTGAAAAATGTCTTGACTTGTTTTCTATATCTTGATTATTAGCTGTTTTTCTTAGTTTAAATTTTCAACCTACAAACATGGCCTGCTAACACACAAAAAGCTACAGTGTTTTTAAGTAGTTTAATACATAAAGAAGAAAAAAATAATTATGGTATGGAAACAAAACCTACTTCATATTTTTTTTTCATTCAGACACGTAAGACATTGTATTGGTCCTAAGAAGAATTCCTACACACCAGTAAGGGTCAGTGGTCAACAGCAAAGTAAACAAAAGGGAGTAATGCCAGCTGAAATCAGGGTATAAAGCATGAACAGCAAAGCCACGGGAGCCTTTCTACTCCACACACGTTTGCCACATACTTTACAAGAACCCAGCGATGAGGAAGCCCAGGGGCACATCTGTGTGGCTATCCAGGATAGCACACAACGTGGACACAAGGCAGCAGGAAGTCCCTTGCTGTTATACAGTGACAGTGTTTTTCCATAAAGGGAAAATTTAGAAGATGTTTTCACTACCACTTGTTAACACCAAAATACTGCATACAATATGCCACTCAATTTAGCACAGAACTACACTTTCAAGTCACAAGAAGGGAATACAATCAGCTGTCCCCAGCTCCTGCCACCAGGAAAACCCCACCAAACTGTCCCTCTCTCCTTTAAGCTGCCTGAGTCGGGGTGTCTTATCACAGCAACAGAAGAGCAACTGAGACACAATCTACTACGATACCCAAAGGAAAGCAAGCCTTAAATTGTGGCTTAGGAAGTTGCACTTGGAAGTAGGTACCCCACATTTCCTTTGCCCCTTTTTATTTGCTACAAACAATTTTGATCTTGTAACATGGGTGAAATAAAGGATGAAGCAATACAACAGGCTGCTCCTTAAGTGTATTCTAGAAGGTGAAGGACGGCAGGAGTGTAGAGAAGCTCCCGTGGCACAACCAATCCTGCCCACGCCATGCACCCAGCCCTGGACTGCAGGGGGCAGCAGACTCGGGGACCGTGCCCACCTTGGCTGGAACGGCATCGTTCTCATTCTTAAGGACGAATCTACCTTCCCGATCATCTTTGTTCCAGTTCAACTGTACAACTAGAGGTTTCTCATCGATGTCTAATCTTCTTTCTTCTTCAAAACATGAAATGGAAACAAAACAAAACAAGCCGTGGTCATTTCGTGGCACGGTCACAATATCTGCCATATACATTTAATTTATGTACATAAAGTACTTTAGTCTCTCAATTACCTGCTCATAGATTGAGATATATTGTTTATCATTTTAAACCAGTTTTAACTGGTTCAGCACCTTGTTGCTACTGTTCTACCATGCTAGACACTGACCAGGTGATATGTTTTAATTAGTTGGGTATTTTGCTGCCACTGACCAGGTGATATGTTTTAATTAGTTGGGTATTTTGCTGCTAGCCAATGTGTTTGTCACCATAGGTTCGGTACACTGACCAGGAAAGAATCCTTGCTTTCTTCTGATCTAACTGAGAAAGCTAAAGAGATGCATATCCCATATGCAACTAAAAGAAAAGGAAATCATGTTAATGGTGCATACAACCCCAGTGATTCACCAGATTGTCCTTATCAAGAAACGGCACAGGCCCATCACCTGTCAAGTAATGGGTGCCTTCCCTTCATGAAACTGTCCTCCACCCTCCACACACAATCATGACATGTGCCTTCTTCCCCGGTAACATTAAACAGACAAACAAACAATCAAGCGAGTTTCCCTGATGACTGAAGCCCACAAAAGCAAAGCAGCCATGAAGGGTGCCCGGGGAGAGCGGGCCACGAGTGAGCTCCGGTGTGTGTGAGTGCTGTCCACCACGGCTCCCTGTGGGCTCCTGGTCTATAGCAGTCTGCTGCAACCCCCGCCAGTATCACGTGGGTGCAAAAGAAAGCACTGTGTCAGAGAAGTCCACCAGGGTCAGGAGGCGCAAGCCTAGGTAGCCGCTATAATCGAGAATGAAATAAAGTGTAGCTTTCCTTTCATTCATGACTTTATAAAGACCACCTGAGTCCACAGAACACATGGACTTGCAGGTGAGAGAGCTTCCAAAGATTACGGAGACACTGAGGCTGGAGGAGGTGCCAGCTCTGTGGTGGGCACTGTGCCTGGCATGCTCACATTCTAAGCTCTCCTATTATCTATCCCAGGCCCTTAGTGGTAGGGTTCCAATAACCAACCGGCACAGACTGGACACCAGTTTCTCTCCTTGGTAACACAGTTTTAGAAATTTGCAGATGGAAGAAAATCATGCTAAACTGAGAACACTCTCTGACTTCAGTCTGGGTATCTATCACTTAGGCAGGAAATATGCTTATAAAAGTAATGAACAAATATGGACCATATTATACATTCCTGGAAAAGGGTGTTTATAACCCTTGAAAATCCCACATATCAGAAACATTTTGGTCTTATTTCAAATTTACAAAGAAAGCTGTCTACATAAAAATGCAGGAAAATCTATTGTTTTAAAAACTCCATAGCTTAAAATTAAGAGGTACTGAAATTGGGGTTTGTGCCGCACATAACCCTTTTTAGCCGTTTTTCTCGTAATTCACACATTTTTAAAAGTAGCTATAAAAAAAAAAAAAGTTTACATCTATGCATTTCTAGTCAGCCTAACTCGTGGTATCAAGTTGCAAGACACTTTTATTACCTGCTGATACACAGCCATTTCCTAAGAGAGAAAACGTTCATCTTGGAGGAAAGTACATTAGGACAAAAGAGTCTGCCAAAGGGAGGTCAAACATTCCATCCCTACAGGAAAGGGCCTTGAGCTCAGCAGTCCCTAAAACTGACCTGACTTGCTAGGCCCCTACCTCTCTCTACAATCATATCTGAAGCCAGGAGACATTCTCAGACACTATCTCTGTACAAGAAGTGGAGAACAGTTGTGATGTATGCTGTGCTCCGGGTTTTCGGCTTTCAAGAGTTGTCATCCATGCTGGAAGAGGCTTTTTGTGATATAGCTGTCTTTGAGTCATGTCTGCTCTTATAAATAGACTCTCACTAATATTCATCTAAGAAACCAAAAAAAAAAAAAAAAAAAATCTCAGTGGTTCAACAAGTTGGACTCTGGTCTGTTGGTGATTCTCTATCTGGGCTGAGTAAATATTTGTTCATGTCTCACACAACAACTGCTAAAGTTAAAAACGAATAGAAGGTAAAAAAAAAAAAAATATACAAGGAGATTCCTCAAGATGACCTATTGTCCCCAGAGAATAAAATGTGCTGTTTACAGAAGGTAAAAATATGATGGCACTTGATCTACACAATATTTAACTGAGTTATAAGTAATCATGGCATTATCATCTACACCTGAGATTTCCTACAAAAGCATGTAGCACACAATAGCATTGATACACAAGACAGATATGTTGGGTGAAAGTTACAGTGAAATGTTAATGGTACTTATTTAAAGAAATAATCGTATAAAATACATTTATCATAACTTTTAATAAACCATGTGCAAGAACTTGAGTTCTTCTCAGACTTGAAGAGTTTGCCACCCTGCCAGCCCCTGTGTTGGCTGAGGGAAAGAAAAAGAGGTATGAGCAGTAAGTAACCCTGAAACCTGATTGTCACACAGCACAAACTACTGACCCCAGGTCAGGACACAGCCTCCACTGACCTCCACTGACATGCACTTCGTAGAGGGAGTACTTGGGAGAGGACAGCATGCGCATATCAGGGCGGAACTTCTCTGCCAGTGTTTCAATCACATCTTGAGTGGTTGCCGTGCTAGATACCCGGATGCATTTTGTCGCAAAGTTTCCAGCAGCTTTGTCTTGAAAATAAAATCTCATGACTCCATGAAACTCCAGATCCTACAAGAAAACAAAATGTTATTGGAGAAGTTACTCTGAAAATACTCAACTTTTTAGCAATAACAAATGAAAAGACTATCCATCTTTTTCCAAATGTTTATCATAAATATCTTAGAAGAAATGGTTGGGGGTTCTAAACCGGGGTTCGAAGAACCCTCTCACAGGGGTCACCTAAGAAAGCCGAGTTATAGCTATGAAGTAGCAATGAAAACGATTCTATGGTCAGGGTCAGCACACTTGAGGAAGTGTGTTAAACGAGTGAAGCATTAGGAAGGTTGAGGACCGCTGGAGTTTCTCCTTGTCTCACCTCTCACATCTAAAACAAAGGGTTGGGAGCAGCTGGTATCAGCAGCAGCTGACATTTACTGAGGTCTCAGCCAGTGCCAGGCATAGCATTGTTTCATTATGTCTTTAAAGCCATGCTGTTCAACAGACACTATTACTAAACCCCACCTCAAGATCTCACCATTGGGTATACAGCTATACATGTCTGCAATCCTAGCACTTGGGAGGGGATGCAGGGAGACGGGTGTTCAAGGACGACAGCTTGTGTTAGGAGAAAATGCCACCCTAACAGAATTAAAACCCATACCTACACTGCCAAAGTCCGACAGTTTAACTAACTTTCTATATGAATTATCACACTGAATAAACATTTCAGACATATCTCAAATCTTATGGAGAAATGCCATGGTGGAATTCCAGCTAAGGTGTCTGGTTTCACATTCTGAAGTTCATGCAACTCTGAGCCTCCTTTTATTTTCTTAAAAAATACAGTAATCACCAACAAAATCCCAAAGGACAGGTCACACCCACGTCTCTAGCAGTAACAAAGATTTAACTGTGCTATTGGTGCCACAGATTCCTCTTTCTGTTCACCCTCTGCATCTAATTATTAAATCAGAAACCAATTAGGGGTGAAGCAAAGGCGGAGATGCACACATAGCATTGTGCTCCCTCTGCCCTCCTCCAACGAGGCTCCAGGTATGAGACTGTGTCATCGGCCCAGTGGCAAATGCCTGTACACCCTGGCCTTTATTTATGCTTATAGCTTCCCTTCTCACTCAGTGACCAATAAACCTCTCCAGTCTTCCCCAATCCACATCCTTTCCTGCAGATGTCAATAAAGTAATAATACTCAGTTAAAGAACAAGAAGTGGGAGCTGGAGAGATGGCTCAGGGGTTAAGAGCACGGGCTGCTCTTCCAGAGGTCCTGAGTTCAATTCCAGCAACCACATGGTGGCTCTCAACCATCTGTAGTGAGATCTGGCGCCCTCTTCTGGTGTGCAGCCACATACACAGGGAGAATACTGTATAAATAACAGCACTGTGGTATCTGAATGGAGTCAGCAAGGACATAAACGCAGAGAATTACAGCAGAAGTAGTGGTGCATGAAGTCTCTTTCCAGCCCAGAGTGTCCCTGGACGTGTCCAGTGTAGCCTATCTACCAGGGATTCTCCCTAGTGCGTTAGTGGGAGGCTGCGGATACCAGGAATTGGGACACAGACCTGGCAAGGCATACACCAGCTGCAGTCCCTTTGGGATTGGGCTAATCATGAACATGTTCTACAGGCAAGAAGGCCACCAATTACGGGGTGAGAGCTGGTGCAGTGTAAGGTTAGCAAGCCTAAATAGAACTGTTGGCTCTTGCTCTGGGTCTTCCAGAAATTACAGCAAACTAACAGAGCACAGCTGGCATGCCTTTTAAATACAGCTGCATCATGTGTCAGACAACCATGTGCCTGAGATCAGCTCCTTTCTGCTCTCTAATACCCAAAAGAAAACCCAAGTAGAGGGAGAAGGCATTAAAACTTATCTTTATAACCCTCTTTGTGTATCTAATATGTAGGTGGGAAGTTTCTAAGTTTCAGTAGAGATAATGCCCTATACAAATTGTATGTGCTAAAGTTGATAAGCTATCATTTACCCATGTTTGTACTATTTCCATCCATGCAAAATAACTTTTTAAACTATGGGAAGTTAATTGAAGAATTCTCTATAATCAAAATGTTCCCACCTACAGCCGCAAAAAAAAAAAAAAAAAAAAAAAAAAAAAAACGAAATTCACAGCATTCAATGTATTTCGATGTGTAAAAATCTTCACGACACCTACCTGAATTAACAATATCGTCAAAACTCTGCCCTTTTTACTATTACTAATTAGCAAACACTTTTGAATATTTACTTTCTTTTTATTGAAAATTCTTTTCATACAGTATTCTGACCGTGGTTTCAAATTTGAGCAGTTTCTCAAGTATTCTTACGTTAATGACTCTCACAAGTGACACAAGACAGGTACATGTGTCTGAGAACTGGAACTTTTGAGTCGTCCCCGAGACATGAACGTTCAAGCTCTCCAGTGGGGTTTATGAGCTACGGAAAGCCTTGCTGCCTTGCTGAAGTATTTAAACACTTTCTTTGCCACGTAGGCAGCGACCCTGAACTACAGTTGGTACCTGGCACTACCTCGCTCCTGCCTATCTTCTTCTTGCAGTGTTTGCATTACCAAATGACCACAGCAGACTGGAATGTCACTTGGGGCCAGGCCTGAGGAAAACAAAAGGGTAAGCTGCATACATCAGCAGCCATTTCAGGAAGGAGGTCTGGCTGTTCCGGGGAGTTTGTAACTGTGGTTATTTACAAAAAGAAATGTAAGTGTGACCTGGTAACCACCTCAAGGGTCCACCTGCTCTGCCGGTACCTCGTAAGTAAGAATACAGAAATCCTCCCCCTAGTTATTCACTATTAGGGTTAAATAAAACTTATCAGTACAGAAAGTAACAAACAAAAATGTTGTTTAGATTCCTGTGTTTTAACTCTGGAAAAGCATAAGAACATAATTATTCTTGGCTAGCAATAAGAATAATAACCATGTTTTATTTAGGCAATGGAATTCTATAAAGTGATTAAAATGAATGTACGTTGTCCAGGTTAGCAGCTTTCCTGAGTAGATAGAAAACCAAAGGTAGAAAACTCCACTGGCTGTCTTTAAGTCCTGAAGTTTCTGAACCTTATTCGATTGAAAGAATGTGGAAAGCTGGGCTGATGCTAACGCTTAAATTAATGCTACATGTGTAACACATTATCCAGAACAAGCAATCATGACAGTCACTACAGATTCAAAGGAAGGAAGCATCTAGGACCTGCAGCAGAGGATGGTACCCTCAAACCATGTCTCCCAGCAGGTTCATCAAAGGTGTTTAGGGTTAGTACTCTCTAAATACTCCCAAGATCATCACGGAATAGCAAATAAAGAGATGGAAGTTCCTGTAAGAGAAGGAACAGAAAGCAACACCAACATGACTCTTGAAGCTGGGACAAGTAGAGCTGTTTCAAAGTGATGCTTTGATGGCGCTTTAAACATCCTAATTCCAAGTAGCACAGGAGTGCAATCTATGCTAAATTTACCTTCCATTTACCCTGGCAACTCCCCTCTCCACTCCTCACACACAGTGAGTCAATCAGGCTAGTCTACAATTCCTGGATTGCACCTAGAGATGGCCAGGCAGCAATAGACTACCAAGGAGCTTGAGTTCAAGATAACAACCTATCTCAGAAATGTAAATTCAGAACGTATCATCTCTAAAGCCATGAAAACAAAAACAGAAAAATCATGGATGGCAAGAGAAGAAAGTGCCATGAATGATAGATGCTTAGGAATAAGATAAACAGAGTAAGACAGAAATTATATCTGGTGGTGGTATGAGGCACTCAATATGCAGTCAGTGTCAGCTTTACACGGAGCTTTACGAATTTTATAATAGGTAACTCCTCTGAAAATGTCACTTACGGCACAACCAATACTTGGCCACTCCCGCACCCCAGAGAGAAGTCTGCAAGTACATTAGAGATACCTTTTGTCAGCCTGTTAATTTATATTGTTACTGGGGAGGGCACAGAGGTAAGCACTAGGGAAACCAGGCTGTTAAACATGCAGGGTCTCTCTTCAAAGGAACCTGTTCTCTGCCCAGAAGGAGATGGCTAGTAGCCATCTGTGACCTCTGTGCTACCACTGTAGGGCCAAGCCACACCTGACTCCCCCAGGATCTCCAAGCTTCCCCAGACTCTAGCAGCAGAACTGGAGGTAGTTAATAGCCTAGTGGCCTTTGTGCTATCTGTATGACAGACACCACACCAGACCCTCCCTGGGCCTCAGGATGACACCTGCAGTCTATCTGTGGAGCCCATCTCCATGGGAGAGGCAACATGTACTTTGAAAAGTAATTATGCCTTGAGCTTTATCGTACACACAGGGCTACATTACATCAGGAAACTCTTTTCCAAATTGTACTGTACTTAAATGTGCCCAAAATAAACTGACCAAAGTCGGACTCTTATTTTTTTCCCTCTGAACCAACACTGGCTACCAAGTCATGCTGAACTGGACTTCCTGTCCCAGGCAGATCAAAACTTTGATCCCCATGGTATCTGTCGAGGACCCCACACGATATCATGAAGTCTGTGGAAATAAACTGAAATAAAACATGGCTACTTTATCATTTGATATACATGTGCCACAACAAATAAAAAGCTCATTAATGCATACACATATAACATGTAACGCATACACACGTGCCATACAGCTTACAAGTGTGGTACACTATACCATCTAGGTTTGTAGTGGTATCACATATATGATGTTCACAAGACAAATTCTAACAACATATTTCTTAAAACCCAAACACTGTCACATGACTACCTTTATAATCACCAATAAAGCTAATTTCTATAACAGTTGCTGCTTATTTTTTAACCTTTGCAAGTGTATGCTTTGGTTCTGGGGGATTTTAAGTTCATTTATTTCACACACACACACACACACACACACACACACACACACACGAGGTGTATGAGAAATGGGTGTGTCTATATGTACATGTACACATTTGTAACACCTTAGAGTAAAAATAAGTTTGGTAAAATTTTTTTGTAGTTATTGGAAAACAGGGAGTTAAATTCAAAATCATGAAAATCAGTTAAAAATCTCAAAAAAGAAAAG